CGAACGCAATGCAGTAACCATAGTGAAATCCAATTGACTACGAGATCAGAATACGTCACTGCTTCTATGGTAGTTGTGCCTTCAACCCTTCAGCTCGTTGGAACCAACTGAGTCTCCAATATGACTTTATATAGAACTCAGTTTTTTAAACCCAACAAGTGAGCTAATGTGGCAAGCTGACTGAAGAATATTTGCGCCTCCACATCTGTGTGCAAAACTGACAGGTCATTGGATAAATACTTGCGTCCTGCGATACTATTACATTTACTAGATGAAAACAACTAAAGTACAAAAATATTAGCCCTTTCCGAGTTTCCAGTAAACGAACAAGACGCGTATAGATAGAGAGAAATGTACACTGAACAGTACCTTCATGAAGCCAACTTAAATGTTTTCCTTAGAGATGTTTGCGACCCAAGCGAAAGGTTTTGTGTCAAGAAATTGCTTTTGCGCTTTCGATCACTGGACTTATTTAGTCACGCCAAAATTGAATCTTCTAAAAAAGCTTTAACTCCTAATTTTCTCTGATTGACCAATGCGGCGTGATAATACTTCCGCCAACCCCAAGGTGACCGGAAAGGTATATACACACTAGAGCCACGCTCCTCACGGGTATGAGGTACACTGCTTAGGCCAGACTAAATCTGCACAGCATCGCTGCTCCGGGTCCTTCTTGGTCTCACTGGTGGTAGATTAATTTGGAAAGAGTAACAAGTTAATGCAGAGCAACAGTTTTACCAAAGGGTTCGGCCTTTAAAAATGTCATCCTCCAAGCTGCAATTAACATGGAATATCTTCATCGTGAAGAATGATCCATCCTCGAGCAGTACCAGAGCAGTGAACTCTCCAAACGCGGACAACAAAAAAATGCGTAAGTACATCAACAAAAGTCTACGAACTGACTCAAAAGTTGCTCCTTTACAAAAATTCAGTAACTCGTAATTCGGTGGTTTCCAAAGTGCATGCTGAAGAGGAAACTTTGCCGAAACTTTTCTTTATTTGAAAAAGAATCATTACCAAAAAAGGGGATCTTTATCGGGAATGGCATTAACTTCGCGATTCGTAAAGAAATTCGCTGAAGCAAGCACTTTTTCCCAGTACTATAGGTCTGACATCTAAGTTGTTGGGTGACTATACTTGATTGACAGATTTCATTTGCAATCAAGGCTTACAATCGATATTAGTAATAAATTACTTGCTTAAATGTATATTCATTCTCATTTCTCCTTCTAATCACTCTCCTACCTCGAACTTCACGGGTTTCAATGATTTGAATCACATCACATAACTGTAAGATGTGCATTCACATCATTGCGTAGACTTCGGTGGACCAACCAGTCACGCCCACCTGGTGTTGCGACGCATTTCCAAAGTACTTATTGACACCCGACGATGGTTTCGGATGAACACATTCTACATTTCAGTCAAGAGAACACTTTAATCAAAGCCAAATCATTCAATCAAGTGCCAAATATAGAGTAGCATCTCTAGGCTTTGTTCACTTTCCTTTGTGTCCCCACGCTCTCGTATATGTGATCAGCTTGAAAATGGAATGCCGAAGTTCACTATGCTCCGAGCTCTCGAGTTTTGCAAAGATCTGGCTTCCTTCTATTACATAGTGTATCTTATCAGCAGGGGATTGGAAAAAAGTAATTAGGTATTGAGATGCACACCTTGTTAAAGGTTTACCTGCGTCTATGAATGCGGAAAACCTAGTTAGTATTGCCTAACGATTCTTACCTTTACATCTTCACCGTACCATTTTCCATTTCCATAGTTTATCAGCCACAACTCCCTCAACATCGCAGTGGCGAAATGAGACTAGGACGAAATGCGTCCACATGAACCACAAAGGGAACTATTGAAGGCGCGAGCAAAACTGGAGGACTTGGCATCCCCTCGTATTTCAAAGACCTTACAGTAACGTGGGTAGGAAGCAGGATGACGACATGAAATCCTCACGAGACGCGCTGTCGTTAGCATTCACTGTGTCTTCCATCAACGAGTTTTTGTTTGGTGTTTTGCGGAGGACTTTTCACCGTGAAAGGACATTTCTTGCATTCATCTTGTTCATTTCATTTGGTAGGCGCAAATGGTTCATTAAATTAACCGCCAAAGGAACGTTCAGCCGAATGTCAATTATGCTGGTAAACTGTTTCGTAGTTTGATCTCCACGACAATGACAGACTTGCCCTCACGCCAACCCCCATGCTGGTAGTCTCTCAAATCACCAGTGTCACGGATGTGACTACATTTGCTGAAGCTTCAACCCAGACCAGTACCGAACGGAAAGGAATTTGCAGTGAACAAATTTGCAGAAAAAGACGAAATGAAAGGAATCCTATATCATGACAAAAAACTGAGGAATACCTGTAGTGCACATGTTCAAGCTGTCATTCACATAAGAAAACGGTGAAATCCGTGAAAGCCCACCACCTTCAAATCGCATAATTACTCAAGCAAGTGACCTAAAACTTTTAAAGGATAAAAACTCCATGAAATCTTACTCTGAAGACCGATTCGGGCACAAAACACAGCTTAGCAATGACACCTTCCAAACACTTCCTCTGATGTAATTTAACCAGCAAAAACAGTGGAAGTTCAGGGTGAGAACAGCTCCACCTTACGAGTTACTCTTACCATCAAAACCGCGTCCGACCCTTTCAGCGTTCTGCAAGTCAAACTTCACCTTCCTCGAAAACCTTTAATTATCTATTCCCCGTAGCAGTAACAACCTTTGAACCAAAAATTGCAATAGCTCTAGTCAAATACCGAAACCCTTAATAAATTATTACAAGTACTGAATTTAAATGCGATTTGAAACGATTTTAAAGTACGGCGTTGAAGATTTCTACCCCTGTGCTCCATTATTTGGTTTCCAAGTACTATTTTATCATCAGTCTTACTTATTCAAAAGTTTTGGCAACCGCTAGTCATTGTACTTGTGTCATTGTAGTTTAATGTATTTGTTAGCTACCTCCTAAAGTACGCGGACTCTGTAGTCTCTATCGTTTGTAGTCTGGCTCGACAGAATGGAGAACAATGGTCATATCTACCCCAGCATAACTCTTCTCCTAATTAACAATGTATGTCAATCCGTACTTCTTTGCGCACTTACAGCTTCGGAGAGGACTTGAGGCACTTAAGTTGATAAACGCAACTCCTCATTAAATTGATATAAACCTATCACTACCAAATTCGCCCCCTCCAGCGTTCAACTTTTTCCTGGTCATTGATACATTGACTGAGTAGGAGGTTCAGTGAAATTGGTATAACGCGAAGAAAATATCTAAATCTTTAGATGGAACATCTCACCTCTTTTCAAAAACGCATAGACCGTGAAAAAACTTACGAAGAAGACCTGACTGAGATTTTCTATGTCAGTGAAATTGTTGTACATAAATCCGCTAACTTTCAAAGCCAGCTGGCCTGAACGGTGATTTGAGCTAATGAAATTCCTATTTAAGCAGCGATGTTTGCCACGATGATCCATTGCTTCGCAGTGCCCAAAGTACTTGACTTGCCGATCTTTGACATTCCTTGTCTTTACTCTGTACTAGCGACACTTTGTTAGTCAGAGTTCCAAAACCATAATCTACGACCCCACATGGAGGCAGTTGCCAATCCAATCACACAAAACAGGAAACTTTTCTCAATGCTTTAAGAAAGCCTCAATTACACAGAATCGCAACACCACTCTACCCAACCTACCTTTATTCAGTCAACCAGTCCAGATGGTAAAATATTATTGCACGCAGAATTCAACTTTTCATTCCATCAAGTCACTTATCTGCGAGATTCTCTCCTGCTCTAGACATCAGTCTCTAAGCATAATGCTTCTCTAACGTAGAGCTCTAATGCGGTCTTATTCTGTCATGCGCACATGTTATCAGATCCCAATTCAACGTGGCATTCTCTTAAACCCACGTCACATCTCCACCATATCCCAGTAGTTCAACAATTTATTCTCGCAACTATCGTGAATCAGCGTCAATCACAGTAAACTCGTCCATGCAAAATGGCCAGACAATGAATTACCTAATATCAAGGAGAATTCACTGCCACTTCACAAACCCAGTAAACACTAGTTACACCTCCATGCAATTGATGAATCCAGATGCAAACAGTGAAGACGAATGTGAGCAGTTTAATAAAGATTGATAAGGGAAGAGGATAAAAAATAAAAATCAACTTGAAGAAAAGGCAAAACAATGGCAGACGATATTAGAAATACATGACAAAGCACATTGACGACTGAATGTGTGGTAAAAGTAATGACTGAATATTACGTATTCTGTGCAACATGGCCTAACGATAGCACCCTTCGAGCTCTCCCATTGACACAATCTAACCTGAGGTTACAATAGAAATTCAAGAATGGGAACATTCCCGCTTCATTGAAGTTACTTTCATCCTCACAACCGAGCCCCACTTTTTAGCGTTCCACAGGTCAAATTCCCAGAAACGGCGCAAGCTACTGCCTACGTGATTTATTCCACCTCCAGGGCCTCCTGCTGAATGATAAAAGTTCTGTTTTCAGAATCAACTGCTACAATTAAAACACCATGATCAGGCGTTCTTCACTCCTTTTATCATCTATAAAACGTAATCTTCTCTGGCATTTCAATCTTATGTCTAAGTGTATGTAACTGGTTGCCATAGATAAAGGGCTCCTGCAATGGATCCCTGAATCCGCAGGCATCCACAGCATAAGAGGTATTCGTACCGGTCTTGCAGTCCTTTATAAAAGAACCCCATCCAAACGCACACATTATAACGTTCCCAGCGGTAACTCGGGTCCTGCGATGAATGTTTGCCACAGTAAGGAAAACTGCGACATCATTCCAGAGCGGTTCATTCATAAATAACAGCAAATGGACCATGAAGTAGGTGGCTAGTTGAGTTGGTGCCGGAGACCAGCAGACAAACAAGCAATCGCAATAACTGTACACAGAGGACGGTCAAAGGCAGAGAGACAGGCGGGTAGAGTAGACGGACTCCTACAACAGATTGGCCAGGAGGGAATTGGCGTAGGCCATGGGCCGCACGCGTGGGTGTGGCGCTTCCTTAAAGGTCGTAAATTCAGGTTTCATCCCGCCGGCTTCATGCGAGCTGCGCAGTGTGATGAAGGCACCCAGATTCTGTGTGATATCGCAGTAGTTAGGGGCAGAGAAAACCGTCACGCAGCGACCGTCGTGCGCCACCTCGTAGCCTTGCTCCTTCACCTTTTAACGAGAATGTTAAGCAAAAGAATGTCATTGAATAATGACATCTACTTCTTAAGTGGGTTTTTTAACCCTCTGCAATTCAATGTCCACTTCGTGGAGGGGATGGATAGATGGATGAACAGATTTGATTGTCACATCCCATGCTATAAAGAAGACGTTTACATGTAGTCGGTATCCAATCGGAGGTCTGCTCACTCCCTGCAGAATTGCATACTCTTAAAAGGATGCGAACAATGACAATTGTCTTCACGAGAAAGGTAATCAGAAGGAACAAAATTTGAGCAATACTTTTACAAACACTTTGCAATACACCTTGCCAACAAACGACGCGGCCAATAAAAAACCTTCGGAATTTACGAGATTTCGCCCTAACGCCAATTAGCACGTCTTCTTACAGTAACGAAATAACATCAAGACAATTATTTCTTCCACTTCAAGGTAGATTTGAGTTTGTCCGAATGTTACATTGTGAATACCGATCGAAGAGAGCAAACGAGGCGAGAGCACCAGAAAGAAAATTGGTCGAAACTGGAGAGCTACCTGCGAGGCAGTCTTCACTTCATGGTCTAGGAGTAGAGCATTTAAAGTGTTCCAACCCTTACAGAGTGTAGATAGAAGTGATTGGAAACGCACCTCATGACTGCGAATAATATAGTCGAGTCCGTTAGAGTCGCAGAAAGAATGAGTTACATCTGGGCCGAACTGACAACCGACACCACGTTTTGAGGGTGCACGTCCACGCGCCTCCATGGGGTCGGACCACAGGATTTCGCACATCAGCCCGCTATCCGGGGGCTGGCAGTTGCGGTGAATATTACGCAGATCGTCCAAACTTACGTTGTCCGAGCTGAAGAGGCCGCCATGCATGGTCTGAGGGAAGAGGAATGGGAGGAGATTAATAGAGATAGACAACGGCCCAGAGAATAAAATACACTATAAAATCTCTGCTTTTAGTAACTTCTAAGCATTACCTCGAGGATTTTAAATTGATGAAGTTCAATAAAACGCCCACCATATCAAGCAGTTTTTGAGAAGTTGACAGCCATGAGACAAATGAAGAATTTGGTACCTCTACCGAATTCGGCGACCAACAACGCAAATGTCAAACGAGTTCATATGATTAACAAACTGCTTCGTATTTTAATTGTAAGAGCCAAATCAAGGAATTTAACAAAGTTAAAATTCAATAGTGTAAAATATGATAAAACCATTGACAAAACAATCTATGAAATCAGCTGATAAAAGTTGTAGTCCAAAAAGCAAAAAATTTCTGTTTTCAATCTCTTCAGGTGAATGTTATCACTACGATGGCGATTCAAACGATATAATTCCATCGAAATAAACCAACTCAAAAAGATTCTCAAGGTAAAAAAAGGGATGGAATCAATTTAAAAAGGCATGAAATTTTGGCTAATTTTTGCAAGCTTCGAAAAAACATGACCAGAAGACACCGGCTTCGCAGTTCGTTTCGACCCAGTTTTCGAAATTTGAAACAACCACTGGAAATCCTACTTAGCGGAGCAATTAAATAGGAAAAAACGTTCTATTTTAAATTATTGGTGAAAAAAAAACAAGACAAATGTCTCAGAAACACCGAATTATACATCACTTAACCTCATATGATTTTGAAGAAATAGCAATCGGTACTATAAGGTCTCAGGGGGTTGCTGACCTACAAAATTCCCTAATATTCTGCAAAACAGGTCACTAATTGACCCGATTTTCAAAAATAACATATGGTATAAAAGTCCTACCAAAACGCGTCCGTTGATGAGATGAGCCAGTGGAAGCCAATTAAACACCTCGGTAAAAATTTCTGCCATCTGATTGTTATACTTGCTCCTCACTTCATTCTCGAACCCGTACATTTGATTCATGTTCTCCGATTCGTGATTCCCTGTTAAAAGGATAAGAGAGAAGAATGGACATAAAAACCAGAATGGTAAGCTTTTGCGTGAAAAATTCCGAAATATACGAAAATGTGCAACCAATGAGATCGAATAGTGCTAGCGCGCCTCGCTACTCTCATCAATCTGCTAGACTACATGGATAGGACAGTTTTAGCTGCTACTCACTTACCACGAGACATAAAGAAGTGATCGGGATAGAGGAGCTTGAAACCAATAAGCGTGAAAATGCATTCAACCGAGAAGGACCCACGATCAACAAAATCACCGTTAAAGAGCTAAATGGTGAAGACGGAAATATAAAGGGTCGCAATTGCTTACGTAGGGATTCTCCGGCGATGGCATTCCGTTAAGTGAAAAAATATTGATCAAATCGTAGAATTGACCGTGTATATCACCACATACTGTAAATTTGGTACCCTAGATGGAGGATTTATAATCTGTGCGAAGAAGGGACAGAAACTTACATCAGGAACGTCAATATTAACCAGAGAAGGAAGTTGGCGAATATAGTTATAAAATTTACAGACCAGCTGAAAAAAATAAGGGAAGGTTCAATCTAGAAAGCAAAATAGACATACCACCATGGCATACTTCCGATGTAATTTTCCCTGTGCCTTGAAAGTTTCAATAAGAGCGTTCATAAACTCCACGGTAACGGTGTAATTGCCTTCCTCATCTTGAGGCAAATGTGGTCCGTTGTAGGAGGACTCTACAACTACCTGTGAGGGATCATAGGTCTCTAGGGGAGATCGTCGCTCTTCGTGTGAAATGGCTTGTGCAAATGCACGCATTCGGGCTTTGCGAAAGCATTCAAGGTGTTTAGAACAAGCATCCTTATCACATGGATGCTTTTTCTTAACCTAGAAGGAAAAACGCTATTGGAATAACAGAAGATTAAACCTCCCACAGTTCCTTACATGCCCACCATTAGCGACAATAATATAAAAAGCAAACCCTACAAAGGGTGAAAACTCATTAAGCTGTTATTCTTTCAAAAGTTCAGGAAAGCATCAAAGCATTATGGATAAACCACCGTCCAGAAAGCACACCTACAAGCCTTGCACGCGCAAATGGCAACTTATTGAATCATACAGATTGATGAAACAGTAGAGAAGAAAGTAGTTGGCATACCGTTTCGAAATCCTTGAGAGCGAGATTATAGTGACCCATAGCCATATTTGCGGAAGCCCTCCGGTAATACCCCTATCGAATATAAGTCGTCAGTGACAAACGCGCTACCTTTATGTAGCTAGGATCCAGTTCAATCGCTTTAGATGCATCAGCGGCGGCCGCACCAAATAATTCCGTCTTGAGATAGGCGAAGCTTCGATTTGCATAGTAGACTGCCTTTTCTTGAACGTTTATAGCCTTTGTATATAGATCAATGGCGTCGGAATACTTCCCCTCTGCAAAACTAGACATCACAGAAGTTTGGCCGTACTTGAAAAGTACTCGTTTGCCTGGATTTTAAATCGCTCTGCTTCTAACGATACCTCAACTGCCATAACCACGATGCACACACAATATCGGCTAAAATGCACAAGTAGCAGGGCGTTCAACTGCAAATGACCTTCCAACTGACCAATTACTATCTTCTTTTATTATTTTAAATAACAACTCAGACTTAACAAGCTTTGCTTTTCTTTTCCCTCTTATACCACCATTCAGGGCGTGCTCAAAAATAAAATCACTGGTTATGATAGAAAACTCAGCATTGTGGGATCTCGAAATAACTTGCTAAGTTAAAGCAACAAAGGATACATCTTTACTGATGACTTGTTCTTCTCACGCTATTCAGATTAGTAAAGAAGAGAAAGTTGCGCTTCTTAGGAGGCCCAGATTGTTGTTGGGACATTCCTAAACGACCCCCACCAGTTTCCCTAAACACTTCCGGGAATTCGCTCTCAGTTTGCTCCACAAAATATTATTGTGTACGGCAGAAAGTATGGTGAGCGGCAGTCGACCCCTGAACACCCCACATCCTTCGTGCTGTGGCCAAGGGCAGCGGATTCCACGCTCCCAGCCCAAACCTAGTTTCATACCCTTGTAACGATGCTCAGTAGAGGAGGGAGCGTCCTATTCGAGAAGCACGATGAAAGTCGGCAGGTTACCAAAGTGTAGGAGGATCGGAGTTATTCCCCTCCCCCCCCCCCACGGGTTTCGACGATGTCGGCTCAGTCACGCAGCTGGGGCAAAATGGCCACCGGTTGCATCAGGGGTGTATTTAAACAAAAGTGCATCGCACTTTTTGTCCTGTAAAAGCTGCCTACAATCAGAGATCATATAATAAGTCTACAAAAGCTAGGTTTACATTAGATCTTACTAATTTTGAGACTGACTTTATTTCTGTGGTTTACAAAAAAAATTATTGTACCTCTACAGTTTAAGGTGAATTTAAAACCTTGTTGAAATTTATCCGAAGCCGCAAGATAGCCTAGTCTCAAGGATTCAGTTGCAAGTGATCCACATAAAATATTTCATTTGGATGATATTCATATGCAACTTGCAGCCGTTAAGTTTTTCACTTCCTCTTTACTTCCTCGCGATCTGATAACAGACACTGCGTTCCCATAACTTCTCTGAATTCCCATCACCTTCTGGATTTCCAAAATTAAAACTTGTGTTAAAAATTTGGTAACTTTCATCCAGCAATTAAACAAGTATAAGGTGAAAATTTTGTGCAGTTGCGATCACAGGCTCAAGAGCATCAGCTACTCGCATGAGTACCAATAGCGGCTTTTAATCTATCATGCATTGGACGGTTTCATTGGTACTGCGGCTCTTAAAATAGGAAAGTATTTTCCAGCAAGTGCGCTTTACTATAAAATGCAAAATAAAATGTTAAAGCTCCTAAGGATTCCCATTTCTCCTTTCTAGACCCTAGTAACCTGATGAATGCAACTATCACCGTGGAGCATTCCCAATAATCATCGATATTAAAATTTCTTGCTCTTTGTCCATCTCACACTGTGGAGGGAACCCTTCCTCACCTACTGAATAATCTGATGCGCTAGCTAGATCGGTTTCCTAATCTTGTTATCCGTCTTTTTTTCCACTGATGTTAGCTGTTAGCTGGTTTTCCTGGCTTATTGTGAATCTCAACCATACACACATCAAGAGTTTCGATCAATTTTATTTCCCCTTTCCTCCTCCCAAAAAGTGGACTCAAATTACAAGAAAAAAGATTCCATTCCGCTGTACGTATGTTTTCAAGGGGATGAGTGGACAAATGCTTGTGTTAATGAATGCTTTTGTGTGCACATATATACAGTAAAGATAGAGCTACACACCCAAGCCAGAAAGAGGCAGGTACAAGGGAGGGGGAGCCACGAAGGTGGCGAGAGGTGAGAAAAGGTAATGTAGATCGGCGCAGGAATTTACAATTAAGCGATATTGGCCCTATCCAAACTGATCTGACCAACTGATCAATTGGCAGAATGGCTGATGATAGGCTGGTAAAAATAGGAAGGCGGCGAAAGACGGAGTGGAAGGAGGTACAGGGCGAGGGGAATTAAGGAAGGAGAAGAGTAACCTTAATAGGAGTTTTCGTGGCCGAAGAGGAGATAGAGGTTGGACTTGGACATTGGATCATCCACCGGGCGACTCTCGACCACGATATTCCTGTAAGAAGAAAAGAGGGAAGTGAGACCAGGATAAAGTTCCATTTTTCTGCTCGGCAAAGATTACTTGCTTTCGCTAGCATCTACAAATTGGATTCCTCGTGAAACAATAAGCAGATATTAAAATTGAGGGGCATCCAATCAAAGATAGACTAAAACCAGCTAGATTTTCTCCAAGGTCCATACGAAATGTACCCTGGATGGAGTTGAAGCACGAATCAACAATGTGGATGGAAATTTTAAAGGTAAGGTGACAAAATTTGGACTCACTTATCACTCCCTAGAAGCTGGTAGATGTGTTGCGGATCATTGATGTCCTGTGTGAGCTACAAATACCAAAATGAAGGGCGGAAAAAATGAATTCCACTATGAAATTTTGAACAGAAAAGCAAAGATTACTTTTCCAAGCGAACTCTTACCTGTCCATCAAATCCAAAACCACGCAAACCAAAGGGATGGAAAGCCAGGATCCCGTCGCGCAAGCAAACTGCATAAGGAACAGTAGTATTCGAACTACACATCATATGAAAGTACTGAAACATCTAAAATGTAGTTGTAAATTATTTTTTGCCCTAAAACACGTTAAGTTTTGACAGATTCAAATGGGAGGAGAAAAGTATGGGACCCACCGACAGATGCCACATGAGTGCCGAAGGTGATTTTTGAGATGTGCTGCCGGTTGCTGCAGACGTTGCCTCGGAAATCGACGAATTTCGCATGATCTAAGGAAAAGAAGGTGCATTTATCAGAAAATCAGGGCTAGCACCACAAGCCTACCTTGGAAACAGAGCATGAGAACGCTGTAGTCGATGTGCGCCACTTTGACTATGGGCAAGGAGTCTTCGGCTAAAAGGAAAGAAAAAGATGGAAGGAGGAAACATCAATCAACCAATCCGATATTATATTTGCATGATTTTACAATATGGTTTTAAAATATTTGCTACGAATCTCATAGAAAGGTTGGTCACCGAACTCTAGTCTAATGTTAATATTTAAGTCAAGAATAACCTACGTCTATCTCATCATTTTGAGCCTGAGGTGATGCAATTAGTTAAAACACACGTCACATATTTGTGATCCCGATCACAAATGCGCTAATGTAAAATCGTTGTCATCTGACCTCCGTATTGCCATGTGTATATTCTAGGCAGTTGTAGAAGCCATTTCTGGCAGTTTTCAGGCCAATAAATTGTTGCATCCTGGACAATTGTAAAATGCAAGTTATTCTTTAAATATACGAATTATGGAACATAAAATGTGCCAATATATCAGAACAGTGCCCCTGTTGCTACCTAGAACGCTTACATTGTAAAGAATCAACTAAATCTGATGCATGAGATTCTAGTTTTTCTGCTTTACAACAATCAAGAGTCATAAGCCTCTCTTAAAAACTACTGCTTAGCATTTGGAGATGGGGTATGCGATAGAAGAACAGCGCACCACTCGATTTAATTATTCAAATACGTAATTTTGTTGTGATGATTAGTTACTCAGAGGTGGATGCATCACGACGCTAGAAAGAAAAGAGCTTCTTGAATATAATAGAGGATAACGTGTCCCTATTGCTTAAAGATGCTCGATGGTAATGCGTCAAGAGGAACTTTCAGTAATATTCAACATGAGCGATGACAAAATAACTGGTTTGCACCTACGTCAAAAGGGAAAAGGTCAAGAAGCTACTCTACAAATGGGTTCCACGTACTGTGCGTTAACAGGTGATAGACAAAAAGCCTTAAAAGCGATCATTTTGTTGTCCTTCACTTCTCTCACATACGCCACAGAAAATGTGCCATACATTTACCGATTGACTTGGGATAAGAAATGACTTTAGTAGTGCAACGTTAAGCAAGCAAATATATCAATGGTTATTCTCAAATGACCTACCCACTACCCTTCTCACACTTCTAAGACAAAACTCGATGCCCGATTATTACAAGAAAACCCAAGACTTCACACGTTCTGCACCTCGTGCCTTACTACAAAATTTAGCAGTGCAAAGATCTCCTCTGATGGTATTTCTCCAAGCGATTGCTATCATCTTTTATTACCATTCGACAATAACATGCAATAGTTAACTAAGAAAAAAAACTGGAACAAAAACGAAACTTATGGCCTTTCTTCTGAGGGCGAAACGCTTGCTAAAAGAGAATTTTGATTTCAAATAAGAAATTCAACTCCTGTTATTAACGGAAAAAAATGTAAAGACCCACCAATCCATCAATCTAATCAAACACTGAGTCCGGAATTCACTGAAAAGACGGGCTAATGTGTTTAAAATCCTCCTCTCCCCTGAACAAATTTAACGCCTATATGAAAATGCTTTGGCGAATCCTTGAAACGTTTGTCATTGTCAGTGCACTATTTAAAGGTAGAAAACTAGAAATTACACCACAGATGTTCAGAACAAAAATTGAAAAGAGCCGCCAGTTAGACACCAAAGGAATGTAGAGTCAGTTGATAAGAGCGTGCCAGTTCAAATCTACTCAATATAGACCGTTTTACTGGCTTCAAAACTTTATAAACATCAAAAATGAGTACAGATCCACCAGTTTAATATCCAAAACCACATGGCAAAGCATCTTATTACCACATTATTAAGGAGAAAGTTACTAAACAGCATTTCTACTAAGGCTATAGAGGAAATGGAAGAGAACGCAGCAACTGCTATCTTTATAACCCAGCCTGTTCCAATTGCCATTGGCACGATTGATGCTGTCAACGAGAACCTGAAAGGAATCGCCCATTTAAATCCCGGTGGTGTATAGCTGGAGATAGGAGTATGAATCCAATATACAGGAAAAGTTCAATCCACCTAGTTGATATTTTTCTTGTTACCGTTAAACACAGTCAAGTCATCGCTCAAATTTGGATCTATGCAAGGATGATTAGCTATTGGCGACTACGAAAGTAAACGAAGTGGATAGTGAGATGACGAAAGCCAAGCACCGTTAATGCTTGTTTTAGCAATATTAATAACTCTGACTACTTGCCAGTTCAGTACAAAAAACGAGATGAAAAAATGCATCAATTTATGCGTTTGCTACAGAGCCTAAGATCTTTCCGAGACATCATGTAAATGACATTTCTGATGGCAGAATCTTGCCTTCATTAGTAGGAAAAGAAGAACACTCACGAGAAAATGGGTAAGGGGGAGGATTAATAGCATCATTGTTGAGATCGACCACGTGAAGCCGAAAACGGTTGGGATCAGAGGTCTTGTAGACACCCAGACACACTGTGGGCAGACTCTGATCGCGGTTGCAGACAAGGTCAAAGTTGTACACTGGAGAGGGCATTGAGGGCACTTCCACCTAACCAATGGTAGAAGAGGTGAGGAGAAAATAAAACGTGAAGGGAAGCAGAGAAACCGCTCAAATAATTTAAAAACCCGAAATTTCATGTATGTTCGGTGTAATTTATGAAACTGTCACTAGATTAATACCCGTTTGGTCACATTTCACTTCTAGCATATTGGCTTCACCAAATATGTTGAAAAGCGGAAGCAAGTCGCACGATCCTTATCATCATTCTGCCATTACAGTGAAAAAACTAACTGCGGGAGGTCAAATGAAGAAGCCACTCAAAAATACAGAACCTATGCGAGCAATCGGAAAATCATTCCTGCTTAATTAAGTATCTATGATGCGATGATAAATTGGATAAACTTGATCTACCATTTCTTGCATCAATCACAGGCTCTTCTTGACAAAAAATCATGTATTTCCCAAAATTTATCGCAACGGAAAAATAAGTGCAGGAAATCTCATGTACACATTCTAATCTCTTCTGTCTTTGTCGGGATCCAAATAGTCGCAACAAGTCGCCAATCACGCGTGCAACAAGACGATATATCGGTCCAACTGAGATTCCGTTACCTTGAGTCCATTTACCGTTCCCCTATAAGGTACCTCGAACATGATTTGCACAGAAAATGCTGAGGCGACCGAGGACAACGGACCTATTTTTATTTGCCGAACCTATGCTAGCACTCACCGATATAACGCGGTGAGGGATCCTAGGTGTATGTCCCAGACGTTAATCTAATAGCCATTTCACAGATCACCTCTTCTTCAATTTTTTCAAAAAACGCATGAGGAGTCGGTATCTCAGTGGGTTTGTTTTATCACCAATTTTTGACGCTGACTAGAATGTAAGCAGGTCCGCCAGGTCCGAAGGGAATAAGACGCAAATCGGCTCCGAAAATAAGCGAATATCAGCTTAAAAAGTTCGACTCCGATTCTCCTAGCCTGTGAGAATTACCAAAACTATTCATGTCTAGCTATCTAACGCAGCCACAATAATCACCAGATTCAATAATTACCGACTTTGCCTGTTTCAACGACTTTGCATAACCGAAAAAAGGGCAGTCTACTTTTCCCATAATCAATGGCGCTTTATCAAATCAGAGATGTCGATCTACCGAGTTGTCATGTAAATTTGGAGCTGATTCAGATCTTATAACAAAAATCATGAAGATACACTACTCTGATATAGGGGACTACAATGAAAATCGCGCTATCAACATTTAACAAGTAGGTGAGTTTGCAGGAGTTTCCATTTGTCGAATTTAGTGCTAATGCATTTCGTCAAAGCGTTTCTAACTCCTATCCAGCTAAATCAAGTGGGGGAACACTTAACAATCCTTTTTATACCAAGAAGAACAGACACACCCCAGTTCGGCAAAAAATTTAATCTAGCACCTCTTTAAACCATTCGCAATCCTTCCTGTCCAAAATAAAAAAGGCGGTAAAATAATAGCCAGCCAAAAATAGCATTTTTACATGAAAGGAACAAGCTAATGATTGAGACTTAGACTCAAATCATTCCCGATAATTTATGATTACGGCACAATACATGGTACTGAGAGATGGGTAGCTGCCAAAGCATTCAATAAATGAATCCAAATTCTCCATTCATTATAACCATTGCCCGAGCATTCCTATCACGACGTACGCGCTTTACTTCGACGAAAGTACTGCGAGGGTTAAACCACTCTAAGACAAGAATGGATTTGTCGATAACAGCGCAAAGGTACTTGTTCCCGTTGCTAGGGTTACGCACTACGCTAGCGATGTAGCAACCGCGGGTGTTGGGCACCTTCACTGTGGGTTGGAAGCGTCTACAAGGAGCAAAAAAGGAAAGGAGCGGACTATTTGTATTGTATGCAGTACCAATGAGAAGAAGAGAAATGGTCTCCTTTGCTCCACTACATATGTAATTTTAATGAAAACTAACGAAGATAATTTTTGGGATAAGTTATTCCTAAAGATTCAACACCAACGAAGCACCAAGAATAAGATGTAAAAGTAACCAACAACGAATTTGTAATTTACGGATTATGAAAGTTACTGAAGCTTTCGGTCTGTGATAATGACCAAGGGATAACAGGTTTCATGAAGCCAAATCAAATGTTACTAGTTACTAGTACTATGTGGTACCGATTTAACCGAATATACCGCCTAACGAAAAAGTTGCAATTAGCGCTAACAGGTTGTATTTCGATAATCAAAAGCAAACATCAGCGAATGATTGGAGTTTAGAGATTGCGTATTAATAAAAGATAAGGTTGGGAAGAGAGCTACAATTGACAGCATAAAAGGCTACTAATTAAAAACTAGGTAGCATTTGATCTTGGCCAAATGTACTCCAACCCCTACGGGGACGAATGTGTTCGCTACTGGCGCCACATGTTTGGCATGCGATTCCAGTTGAATCACAAACAGATCGGTTAAATTTAAACAGTAAAACATTCGTGATTGGTGGCTGAATAAATCTGAGTTTATGACCAGCATAAGTTTGACGAAAGTAGGCTTTTTAAGGGCTGCAGCGGCCAAATTTATTCTGAGATCCCCGTAACAAAGACGCTACCAATGGAGGAACAAGTGACTCTAGCTCTAGGTCAACCGAAAGTCGATCGAATGTACTGCTTATTTATTTGGTGATAAATCCAACTTGATGGGAAAAATATGCTATTATCATGCTGTTCGTCTAATAAGCGACTCACTTGGGAAGGAGTTTAGTGGGCAGACGCCCAGTTAAGGTACCACCGGCCAGGTCTTGACTAGTCTTGGCCTTCATGACGTTGACAAGGTTGTGACTGTAGAGGTGTGGCGTGTTACCAGATAATGACATCATAGTGTCACGGAACACTGTCAACCAAATGCACCGTCTCGGTATCAACTACAGAAACCAACACAGGATGAATGTTAACGGAAGGGTTTTTGATAATAAAAAAAAACATTTTCTCAGCCTCGTGAAGGTTGGCTATTAAGCTGGTCCCAAAACCGCCTATGATCCCAGGCTCTCAGAACCTCTAATACACTGACAATAAACTTGTTTCCCGACTAGTGCATCTTCAGATATAGCCCACAAGTTACATAGATAGAAGCAGTAAATGAGCATAACCCAAACTAACAACAATAGCTACTTAGCCGTTAGCACTTTTTTTAGTGAAACCTCTTCCAAAGCGGTTCAGCTTATAGATAGCGTGGTATTCGGGGATCCCAATTAAATCCACAGGAGGATCTACTACCACTGAGACAAGAAACGTTCGCCTCACGATTCAAAATCACCTAATTATCTTAGCTCTTGGTTACAATTCCCGGGGAAAATTTTGATAGTCGATTCAGAAGATTGACCTCGAAGAGCGTCAGTGACGCTTGAAAGGAGAGGGCTATATAGTGAAACGACGTATACCCAGCCTATATCCTGGTGCCAGCTATTCTATGTGTTGATAATAAACTCCTCCACACTAATATAAATTACTGTCTTTGGAGACAACTCAATGCACCACATTGTTGGCAGTGGTAGGCGAGCCCTATCCAAATGAACCAAGACCCCAACTTCGTTGCCTGAATGGCGCGCATGTTACAAGAGGAAGACATTTACTGTGGATAGCTGAATCTGTAGAGAATCAGGACAAGGGAACCATCTAAATCAAGTCTACTTTTGGGAACTACTCTAGTCTCCAGTTTTGCAAAATAATCAGTAAGAAAGACTCAGTATGGAGGAAGTGCAAATGCACGTAGAACTTTACAAAATATTTAATGCCGTCTGAAGCTAGGAATGGCCTGGATTGGCTGGTGGACAACATTGAAGAAATGGTAACAAGGAAGCAATGAGAACTGAATGCCAAACATATACCCGTGAGGCTAATTTGCGTTGCATGCTTCATTGAATAAATTTGGCTTCTAAGTAAATGTTTCAACAAATAGTGATTGGTATGCAAAAATATGTTCATTGTAAGGCAAACCATGGGAAATGAGTTCCTACAGTGCAGTTGGCAGTTGGGGCAATCAATTAAATAATCTCACGATTTTCGTTCCTGTCTTGCGACTAATCTAAATTAAGTAAGATATTGTTGGAATGGCTGAAGTAGAGGGATGGGCACCCAAAAAGAGGGAGGGAAAAGATCTTTTCCTTTAACCACACTCAAATTACCTTATAGTATCAGCCTACCGTTTCTTCAGGTTGTTAATAAACCTAATTCCGGACTGAGACGCGCCTTATTACCTTTCGGGAATGACTCAGGCACTAATAAGTGTTTCCATAATAATTAGGAGGTAAAAAATAAGGGAAAGGAGACACTTACCAGTTCCAAAGTTGCATCAGCTAATTCCTGCAGGTTGAGGTAGTAAATGCCGTCATTGGTGCCAAAAATTATCATTTGCGCTGAAAACAGAAGGTTGCGTCAAATAAATAAATCAATAAACAAAGTGTAGTGCTACAAACCTTTTGTAAGGGGATTGACCCAAGTGGCCGTGGCGTTGACCTTTAGAGGACAACCCTCAAATATGAGGGTAAAGCAGGCGCCCATCTGACGAAGAGGAAGACGAGTGAGAAGGAAATAATTTAACTGGAAGGGGCAAAATATATACGAGAGCAGAAATTTTACAAAGCGAGAGTAATTCAAGCTTAATGTCTGTTGTTTTCAGATACTGAAGAGAACATGATCCATTATATATTGTATCCTTTTCGAGATCCAACATAAAAGCCTCAAACCCAAAACTGACAATACACTCCCTACGCGTTGTTTTGGACAAAAATCACGATGAATCAGGGATCGCAAACAGGAAGCGTTCTCAACTATCATTACTGAGAGCGTCAATTTTATCCAGCCGATCCTGAGGCTTGTAAACAATGAGGATAATGCGTATACTTGCATGTCTCTAACAATTCTTTGGGATCAATGTGCCGGTATATATTCAAACAGTGCAAGTCATTACTATATCCTGGGCGCAGGGAGTTGTTTAAAGGTGGCCCTGTATTCCATCAAGATTGTTTCAATTCCGCGCGATACACAGAGATTTCATGGTTTTCTGACTTCAAACATTTACTTACCCCATGCGGTTCCTCAAATTTAAATCCCACGAACCACAGTGAAACTGGTGATGTTTTTGTTGAGTATTCGTGATTTATAGTTTACAAAGACATGTTTCTTCCCACACCACCTTAACAATACAGAAGTGAACAAACGGAATTCAGTCCTGTAGCCCCCCTGAGTTAAGAATTGCTTATCAATAATAAGTGCTACCAGTGGATAAAGCCGAAAACTGTTGTATTTATTGGTCTTGGATCATTAATTGTGCGACAATTTGGTCCCTTTTATACAGCCTAAACGATGTAGGAGCGCGTGACTAAAAGGTGTGCATGATCAGGTTAACTCCAGCACTTGACGTCCTAGCTCAATAATATGTATATGGAAGGTTCATTGATCCCAAGATCGCAATGATAGCTGTCAACAGGAACACAATGACCGACACCGACAACATCCGCTCGAAAAACGCAGGTGTTTGTCTCAGAAGCCATATCAATGCAAATGACAATTTCATTGAATAATTCCTTGCCGTGTTTCGGTGAAGAGTGTTTCTTATAGAGTCCACCCTATCCATAAACGAACTGCCACGAAATTTCATAATTCTGTCGACTCCTTGTATGCACAATTCAAACACCTTTAACTTCTACAATTAAGGCGTAGGTAAGGAGATTATTAACAAGCATGTCCACAACATCAAGGACTCGCCGATGTCTGGCTTTTAAGGATATTATAAACGAGTTTAATAGGGACCAACAAAAATAAATTTACGTTGCCGTTATAAAAGTTGCATGGAGGCTGATGACATAGAAATGAAACTTTAGTTTATATTATAAAATTCTGTTTCAAAATAGCTTATTGACCTGCAAGATTCAAAGCATCTGGAAGGTCTGCGCCACTGAACCGTTTTTATGTATTTATTGCTAATACAAGTAAATCAAATTTTATAACAGGCAAGATTGAAAACATTTTGGTCAATATAGCATTTCAGGAGCCATACGGAGATTGATTTCGATTAAATTTTTATGTAGATTTAAGTAACACAAACAATAAGAACAGGGAAAAGCATTTTTAACATGTAACAAGCGAAGTCCCACTCACATGAACTTTTGGCGTAGGTGGCAACCCAATTCCGTGCTCCATCTGATATTGCCTCTCCGCATGCCTCAATCCACGCTTCTCAAAGTCCGTCAGCAGACCACATGCCGTATCGAATTTAGGAGGGGGTGGACGGGGTGGTGGTACACCCACCCCCGTTCTCTTTGCCTGATACGCCCCATCACCTCCGGACAACCGCCTCGCATCCCTATTATCGGTATCCGTTGCCGAAATGCCGAAATCATGCATTGGTTGTTGCTGCTGTTGTTGTGACGACGTAGACGAAGTTGTGCTAATGATGGGACCGGGAGCAGTGGCATATGACTGACAAGCTGAAGCCACCGAAGCAACAGCCTTAAGGGCCTCGCCTTTAGGAGGGAGAGGAGGAGGGAGGGGTGCCCGGCGCTTAGAACGCATTCGGGAAAGACCTTCGTCGCTGAGACCAGCTGAGGGAACTAGTCCATTTGTCTGAAGAAGAACAATTTTGAAATGATATTTAAAAAAGGTCGGTTATGTCCACTGTCTTCTTAGTAAAGGTGGATCCATGAACATATTTAAGATGGATGAAAGGACAAATGGATGGACGCGTAGGTTGATAGAAAGATCTGGGATGCACAGACATTATGCATAAATAACTCGAAGGCAGATGAATGAGTTACGAATAGGTGAATGGCTTCAAAACAAACCCAGGACAAATAAATGGTCCTGAAATAGGCAAACCAGTGGATAGAAATTGATTAAAACTCGATAGAATCGTTTCCCAACCACACGTATGTGTCAAAGAAATAAGTACCGAAGCGCGAGCCCGATAATCTCGGTTTGTCGGATCGTGAAGTTGGCAACCATAACCAGGATCACAAAAGAGACCTTGGATCAGCGGCTTTTCTTCTCTCAAAGGTAAATCACCCACATGCTTGAAACTGCAGTTATCTAAAATCCGGTCACCTACCTACTCAGGTACATATACATGACACCGACGCAAAACAAACATGGCCAAACAAATATAGCGAAACGAATAATAATGATAGTAGGTGAATCAATAGTGAACTTGGGTGGATGGGGTTCCGCTGAGTATGCTCATTGTTTGTTTCATGTGTGGTTAGTTATGAAAGCATTGACCTTTATTAGGCAGAATATGGAAAAAACATGTAAACCCGAAGTGAGGGTTTAAAAAGGCGAAAAATAGACGAAAGATTAACGATACTATCCAAAGAGTATTCACTTAATCAGCCGTTGATAAATCTACTCATCCATAAATCCTCCCAGCCATGATCCGCCTATTCATTCATTCACCCACCTATTCATACGCTAGTTTTTGCTTGCCTTTCACTAAATTCGCACTGCTGCCAACCAAGATTCCACAGATTCCACTAATAGCACTTTTACAAAAAAGGTTTGTAAACGAAAGAAAATCGTTGAAGGAGGATTCGAGTCATTTTCTAACTGATAAAGAATAACTTTCCATACATTTCAGAAATCTTCCCGATAAAAAAAATAAAAAGGAACTAGTTGAGAGAGACAACTGAATGAAGATACTACACCAGCAGCAGATTTTAACGACTTGAAAGTGAGCAACTTACCCCACCAAATTCATCAGTATCCTCAAAGTTCTCCGATTCATAGAAGCTCAGTCTCCCAGCTTCCTCAACCATCTCAATTTCCGAATCCCTGCAAAAAGAAGAGTAGGGGTGTTAGAAATAGAAGAGAATCCCACTTGTACAGATTATACATCCAACGCAGAACTTCTAGTAGTCGCCAGAGGTTCCAGCCGCCACATACTGGTGGAACGGCCTTACGATTATATTCTTTCTGCTACAGCTCACCAGCCTCTTCGCAAATTTATAAAGTTCTACCAACCTGCCACAGGAAGTTTGGATAGTCCTTTAGGAAGGACTCAGATGCTGTATTGGTGGTATTTTTTAATGCATCAAATACAAACATCACAGAAGAAAGCATATTCTGCGGATAAATGATTCACAACAAAAGTTATCAAAGCTACGTCATTTTTTAGTCATCCCAATCATGTATTTTGCTTAAGGTCAAATAACAGTTGTACGAACAGCAGGTGTCCATTGCAGGACTGCCTATCCCATTTGCATAAAACGCATGAACCACGTTAATACATTCCTCATGTCCCGAGTAGCTGATTGGATTCCAGATTGACAGCTGGGCGACATGGAAATGAAATAAAATGAGCGAAATGGATGAGAACTTTTGGCTCCCTGAAACAACTTGCAACTGGGTTTTCATCAAATGACTGCTTCTACGTAAATATTGCTGCAAATAGATTAGCATATAAAATGCCCTCGTTGCGAGGACACTCTCTCCCAGAGGGGCACAAAACTAGTGAATCCCCGTAGCTCTGAATACACCAAAATTGGCGTGACAAGGCATCACTGACACCGGGGTCAAATATCTCGCCTTCCCATGACCTTTATTCCTCGCTAGTAGGTGATTTTTAATCGTCAACTACGTTATGATAGCTGAAACAGAAGAGTGACTAAAGAAATCGACGAGAACGACTTATAAAAAAGAGGTAATGGAGAAGAAATCTATCTGACAGAAAGACTAATTTACACTAAATATATAACCATACAGACTGATTTCCCCGGGTTTCGGTGTCTTACGTGATGCCATACAAACCTACAAAAACTTGGTTTTTTTACAACTTTGGGAAGGACTCGAACGCTACAGCTTGATCAATGAAACAAATAGAAATGAAAAGAAAATCTAGCTTTATTGCGTCACACATAGGTATCCATACAAGTAAATGTAATCACTTAAAACGGTATACGCAAACAATGAAGGCTCCTGCTTGCGTACACGAGACTGAAAGAACCCAATAAAAGAACAAAAAGGACCTACATCATTCCATCGATAGGAGAATAGAAGAGTTGGCTCTGTCGCTTCTCGTATTCGTCCAGCACTTCGGCAACCAGGTCCTGTGACGGGGAGAAGACGAAGACAAGTCATTTCTTGCAACAGCTAAGTAACTAGATAGATTATAGTGAAAAAACAGCACGAATACTTGAAATACAAAGGTCGTGTTTACTTTGGCTATTGATAATTGCGAAAAAACCCACAGACTGCCATGTGTTTGCCAAGAAAAAATTCCGTGACTGTTGTACCATTTCAAGAGTATGAAATGTTCTATTAAGGAATCGACTATAGCATGGGTACATTAATAAACAGGTTCCGTTCGGTTAATACCAGGAATAAAACAGTCTGAACTTCAAAATGGAATTTCTACCAGCTGCTAATATCACAGAGAAGATGGATGTGACTAGTAGGTGATCAAAATGACTAAATGAAAGTCTTGGTACATTCAGCATCAGTACCACCCTATAAGAAGGGTGATCTGCAATTGATGAGGCAGAAGCTCGACAGGCTTAGTGGCTGAATAAACTACTTCAAATTTGTAGAATATGGGGTAGTAAGAACAGAAAAATGCTTTAATGAAATCGATAAAACCATCCATCTTCAACGGCAATTCAAGCGGTTACTATTTCACTCAACGATATTGAACGTTTAAAATGAACAAAAAATAGAAGACATGATTCATGATTTCCAGTAAAAGCGTTATCCTAACACATACTTCAAAATTGCAAATACCGGCTAAAATCATAGAAAAATCAGGAAATCTGCAATCAGTATTCAGCTTAAATCTGCTAAATATTCAAAATCTGACATTTCTGGATTCGATTTCTTAGGTGCTATTTCGTAATCTAGCCTATTAAATATAAGGACAACAAATGAGAACCACATTGACATAACTTATAAGCAAAAGTTTAGAGCTGGCAGTCTGTTGGATTACAAGGTAAGGCATCCAGACAACACGTCTTGTTCATTCAAACGACAAGTTATAAGTATTTGAAAGTCGGAACTGTCGATACCCCTGACAATACCATATAGAGGTGCACCGTTAACTGGCACGCTATGTACTGGAGGGTGTTAGTTTTTTAAGTTATCACCTACGACATTGACCAGACGCATCCATCTCAAATCGTATATAACATGAATGCAAAGCAAACCAAGCAATCAAAAGAAATTTTAGTTTTGACTACCATTTTCATTGTTGAAAAGCCAACGCGAAGTGGTGCAAACAGCTCAAAATAGACCACCTAACGAAGTGTTTGGTTAGCTAATGAGCCCTCATATAATTTTGGCTGATATTCTAATAGAGGAGGTTCTGGTCCTGAAAATGAGCAAGCCAAGAAGCACGTGTTAGACAGACCGGAGCTGAGACTAAGGCGGTGGTGGGGAAATATGAATGAACTAGAAAAAAAACAATAGCAATACCCAAGATGGATACATCTATCTTAAATTACTTTACATGAATTAGCAACAGTGAGTTTTGCCCTAGTTACCGCAGTACAATGGTATCAGAAGACTTAAAATAAATCAATAAGACCAGAAAATAAGTTACTTTGAGGCCTGCCACCAAGTCTAGAGTTTCCACTCACCTCACTGCTCTCATTGAGACAATTCTCAGGCAGAAGTCGATGATCCCCTGGCGGCCATCCGGCAGAAGTAATTGGTTGATCCTGACCACCCGCCGGTTCAGAAGGGCGTCGAAGGGAGGCAATACGAAGACGTGGTGCACCCTTCGCGCACGCTGCGCTGGTGCTAGTTGCTGCGGAAATCAGAACCTTTAGTGACCTAGGCGGTTGTGGCGGGGGACTCTCATCCTCTGCGACCTCCGCCGTCGCTGATGCTGTCATGTTGATTTCGGCCTGCTGTTCGCGTCGATTGGCCTATGAAGGCAAGTGAATGGATGCTTAGTATACCGACTGGTATTATGCAGGGAATCGCTCCACCCTGTCTGGAATACTTTCTAATACTTTCTATTAAATCGACTGTTGAACTATTTATCAAAGTCGGAGGGTGCACGGAATGCATAATCTATACACACTGGGTAATATTTCCGTTCTTCGAAGTTTGAATGGAAGAACACAAGTTTACATTTAATAAAATTCATTTTTAACTTCCAAGTGCTTATCAATCGATTATAAACTAAAACCAGTCACTACAGATCGAAAATCCATCAAGCATAATAACGTAATTTGGAAAAGACAATCAGCAATTTAAAAAACGACAAGGAATCAGCATATCAAACCCATCCACAGCACAATGTAGCCTTTTTTGGAAATCGAAGATCAAAACATTTCCAAGTGACGGCTAATGGAAGCGCATATTTGAGATGGTGAACGCCTGTTAGAAAAATTAGCCAGAATTTTCGAATTAATCCTTAACACCACTATTTAAAAAGAATTTCGTTTAAAACGCCTAGAACTACTTCTCAATCTTAAAAGAGCCAGTCAATCTATCGTCAAACTACTTCTCTGCTGCCAGTACAGAGATCGGAAGCGCTTGGAACACACTACTCCAAATCCTTCTAGGAGTAGATTAAGTAATTTGTACCAAAATTTATGGAACCGATTCTCGACCTAATAGGTGTTTGAACACTTCTCTATCAAAAATACAAACACACTTAACCACCCAATTAAGGCAAGTTTCTAAAAATTAGGTTTAGCGATTTTGGCGATGTTACAAGACGCAGCTAGACAGTTTCAAAAGAACTACCGTTAGCACACTAGTCATCTTCCTATTCAAATCTATAGTTTTGTCAAACAGCAATATGAAAATGAAAAAAAGTGACGAAGACAAGCGTTAAAACTGCAAATGGACTACGAAAGTCTGTAGTTTAACCGATGCAATGAACGAACTAGAAACGTCCACCTCTAGTGTATTGTGGTTCCTACTAGAAAATGTGGATTCAAACATTTAGAGCCTGTATAGAGCCCATACTACGGTTTTCCATCAGTAATTTTAAATCTCCCGGATGAAACTCATTAGAACAATCCACCATTCCCACTCGTTAGTGCCTATTATTGGATCAACCATCACGACGGAATCGTTCTTTCTCCACACTGCTCTATGATTAAAAGCTGTAGAAATGAAAGTGAGGGAGCTTCGGTATCTACGTCCAAATTAATAGCATTAATGAGCAATCAAAATAAGTTCTAGTGTTTAAGAATGGATAAACGGTTTCCCAATTTTAAACATCTGTAAAACAGATCACCACAAGTTTTTCCTTAAAAGACCAATTTTGGGATCCGTGAAGCTTTGATAAGCTCTATGGGTCTTGTGTAGCATGCGTGATCGAATGACATCAAGTTCGTTATACAGACCTCAATAACTTAAGTTTTTAAACTTTTAGTGACATGTGGAAAGCATCTCGTAAATACGTCTCCATATACTAACAGACTAAATATGATTCGCCCAAAAAAATCACCAAGAACATGGCTGGTTAAGTTTAGCAAATTCCCTTTACTGACCATAACTTCATGCAGCCATTTCGAATTATTTTTTACGATAAGAAAAACAGTTTTCAACATCCTATTCCAAAATCAACACAAACCCCGTAATTCATTAGTCTACTGCGATAAAATTCTAGTTGTAACCCGCTTAGGGGTTTTACCTCTGGGTGAAAGAGTGAGAAATTTCTCTAGAGTTGATTTACGAGGTAGGCAACCGAAGCACCTCAATAACGTGGAAGAGAAGAGAAATTTTACTAAATGCCAGAAAAGATTTGCGTTTGATAAAAACCGGGTAGATAAAGATAATAAGGGAAAAATAGGCTCAAAATATTAACATTTCCCAGATTTGAGTTGTAAATACGAATTGCGAGGGAAAGTGGTGAATTCAGGATAGCATGACTCTATACTCTTGTTTTGATCTATTTCGTGTCAGTAAATGATGTACCATATCATGGCTGCAGGAAAGGTAGAAAAACCGATTAGACTATATTGAAGGGCATCCAAAAGTACGTTTACAACCTCAGAGAAATGCTACTTTTGGGAGTTGTCTAGGTGACAAGAATTGCCACAAAAAGGGATGCATGATAATGGCATCAAACACGTTTAAGCCGGTTCAAATGCAGAAGTGGAAAAAAATGGATGATTTTCTAGTGAATTGATAACGACTTTTCAATTTTAATGTACAAAATCCTTAAAAAAGCCGCTCTCATTTTGTTAATCGCAAAAGGAGGAGCATGTAAGAACGAAGATGTAATTTTTCCGACCAGAAAATAGCCAGAAGTTCCAAAAGTACGGTTTTCTAGATCACTTTGCAAAGAGTTTTCAGCATCAGATGTCAAAGATTCCGTACCACTTTCTTCAACCATCAGTCAAGACGAGAATATATATGGCCTTACATTCTAGGAAGTGCATGTGTAATGACGTCTTTCTTAATTCAATGTCACCAACACTTAGACAGCAGTCCCTTTTGAATCCTGGAGGAAGATATTTTCTTGAATAACCGATTGAGTGATTCGACGTAGTGCAAAAAGGGTATGGTTAGACCAAATTTTTTTTGAATCCCAGGGAATTGGAAATCAGCACGATTCAAACGTTCTAAACCCTCTAGTTTAACTACCCCAACTATTTATTGGTCGACGCCATTTATCTTGATTCCAGATCCCCTTGAAGGATACCTAGGTATCCCCTCATAACCTCCTATTTATCAGTACAGAGGGCACAAATCAATGCTCTACCAGCTCCTTAGTTATTCTGGAGTGGCAACATGCCCACGTAACATGGGTAGAAAAGAAAGTGCCGGCCACCGTCACTTATTACCAGCCCACTCACCTTGACATTCGCTTTGTAAAAAGTACAATCCACTCACCTCATTGGTTAACTTACACACACAGAGCTAACGACAAATATCAACAACAGTGAAATTCAACAGACATTCTCACTTCAAATGAAAGATAACGAAGTCGCAAAAAAAATAACTGGAGAGAAGAGCCCAAGATTAACTAGTGTGCAACCCAAATTTTCTCGCAAAAGTCAAATCAACAAACTGGTAAAGTGATCAACCAGTGCTAAATTGTCTCAAAAAGACCTTAGTCTTCAAGTTTAGCCAAGTATGTCATCGTAACATAACTGGATGTAGCTATAGGACAAATCTTTTCCAAAAGCATAATCTGTGCAGACAGTTATTTTGAGTGGTTGAGGAGAATTGTTTGATATTTGACATCTGGACGCCTCACAAAGTAACACTTATTCCCTTCTTAGTTAAGTCAAAGCACATAATCACCTTCCACACATTTTAATTCGCAGCTCGAGGCAGAAAGTAAGCCCAAAAATGTACTAGTAGCAAATTTTAACGACTCTATGAAATTAAATCGTACAAATATGCGCCTGATAATATGAAAAATGTACCCTTTCACGATATCTCTGATAAAGCATTCAAAGTTCACAAAGAGGGAAGCAATTTGGTTAGCGATTAAATGGAATTCCACCGATGCAGAGTTGAGAGGAAATTCTGTCAGCCTCCATTTAGCGGAAACAAATCAGCTGCCTCCCTGTTGGCGAATTCCAGGGAGCGTATACACTTTTCTACGCAGAACTAAAGCGTTCCCCAAACTTTACAAGCAACAGTTAATTATTATGTCGCAGAATTTGCCCAAATGGATCTGCGGTTTCTTCAGCAATCCACTAGATCACACTGATGGGTATTCAGTGGGGCAAGATCGTGTGATTTGGGCCTTCAATCATGAAAGGAGGTAGCGACCCTATTAACCATCCATTTGAACGAATTAAATTGTATTTGACAGTAAATGATACTATTTTACATCATATTGGAGACAATGCTAAAGGTAAAGCTACTGAAAACATTTCTATACAACTCCGTGTTGATCTCGTACCTAACTATATTATAAGACAACAAAAGTTTAACACACAGGCCTCATATAACCTATCAAAACTCAATCAGCCACGAACAAAAAATTTGCAGTTTATCCTACAGATACCTAAAATTAAGGAACTCCTAGTTCCTCCTTCGAAAGCCAGAAGATATCGTAACTGACATTCGTCACTATTATCGGCCTTTTATCTATACATCTTTCGACCACAAGGCGGTAGGTGAATGTGTTACACAAACTGGATTGCAGAAGTAGACAGCGATTGACGTGAAGATGAGGCTAGCGATAAGCCACAATGAATGAGTACGTGACTGGTCTTCACACCTATAACCATAATTGGAAACACACCTCAAAAGTCACATCCAACTTGCACGTAAACCTACCAAATATATTAACACCTGGTGCTGCTTTTATGGATTGCTCGACGCAGTGCACACAAGAGCAGATGCATCGAGGCAATGTTCAGCACTCTATAAACTCAATTTCTTACATTGTTTGATCCGATAATAAATTTCACTCTATGGTGTTCCAATTGTGACTATTAGTGTTTCCTTTCCTAAGTAGATGATGCTAATTTCCACCATCCCAACCTCATCATTATTGAGGCCTTTTGGGTAACATTTAAATTTTAGATTTTTTGATGAAAATTAACACTGATGAAGCCTTCCCCTCTCACCATTTCAAAGTTTTCTGATTTGCATTTTTGAGATACCAAGTAGTCAATAATTACAAAGAAATAGGGTCGGTACGATGGGTCAATAGGTAGCAACTTTTGTTCCCCATTTGCCGGCAAAAATTGAACCACATATTGGCCATCCTCACACTTTTAGAATTTAAAATTCGTAAACCAGCTATAATCAGTACTTCCGAGGATATTGGAAAAAAGTATTTTTTTTTCTATTCACCACAAATCACAGTTTGCGTGGAAAGATGAATATCAGTACTTTCTGGTAAAATGAAGACAACCCGTAAAACTACCATTCAAGCATCGTTAAAATCGAGATTCTAACGCTTTTCATGTAAGTTCTACAGTTTATGCTAATATTTTCAAAGACAACACACATTAATATGTGACTGAATAAAGAAAACCTGAAAATAAATCAAACATCGCATCATCTTCACGAAATGTGTGGTTTACAGTTTAAACAGTTTCGAATTTGTAACCATATTTTCCTTGTATCCAGACACAGACCCCTTACGTATTGCACATCTAAAAGCTGTATGGTGGCAGAGACATCATTTCCCATCGGATTTATACCAGGTCCTAATCTTTTAATCACCTCTCAATATCTCGCAAAAGAGAATCGAGAACATACCTGATCCACATCTTCAGGTCGGCCATTCCGATCAGGTAGACGATTTTGCACCAGAAGAGACTGTGGTCGCTCTCGACTCACGGAAACTGGCCAGATGGGTTGTTCTGCAGCCACTAAGTGCTGCGGCTGCTGATGCTGCGGTTTCTGTGGGATAGGAGGCGGTGGTAGCGGCGGCTGAGGTTGTACTGCCTCCATAGCGACCTTGATCTTTGGACCGGAAACGAGGGGAGCAGGAGTAGCTGCGAGCGCCATCTTCTCTCGCTCCTCTAGAGTGCATTTACGGTCGAGGAGGTCGCGGGTGGAGGCGATGGAGAGAAATGGATTGGAGACGAAGTCGTGCTGTGGCAGTAGCGGTGGAAAAGAAATTAATCCAGGTGGATTTATTCTACCAAATACAGAAGTTTCGAATCAAATCTGGATTTTTGTGAATGCAAAAAGAGAAATAACAAGCTTTGGAAGTGGAGAATTTGCTTATTTCCCGACAAACTCCTGGTGCGTTTAGATACTCATCACATTCCCTGAATGGTAGGCGAAAAAGCTCGACAGAAGAAAGGCATCAGCACAGTTGAGCCATGTTAGGACAGCCTGAGATAATCTATCCACCTTGATTGGTAGCAATTTGGAATATTTCATAATGACGGCTTAAGACACAAAGTAGCTAGCAATCTCCATCTCCCATAGCAGCCTCATTCGAGAAGATTTCGTGAGAATATGGGGAGAAATTAACGTGCTCTCCAGATAGCAATTCTGTTCTATTGTAGAGCAAATTAACACACCAACGGAAGCAACAATTCTAAACCTATCAATGAATTAATTGTTTGACTGAAAATTTCTGCCCTATCAAGCAATGTTAAATTTTGGAAACTAATCGCATGATAAGTGGGAAACAAGTCTGAGCTGAAAGCGGCTGTAGTAGGAAACAGATTATTGCGAAAATACGGGCTTGTTTTGAAGAATCGTACGAGCCTTGGTACTCTACGTCTAGCCCTTGTCGAATCTATTTCCACTGTAGTGGTTAAAACTTTCGAGAAGAATTTAAACAATGGAAACCGTTAGGGAAGACTATAATGCCCTAGGTGAAATAAGGAACCAAGCTTTCAGTTTCCTTAATATTCCAGACAGTATTTATCTAAAACTCGTGTTCAAGAGACTATCGGCGTTTAATATTTGACTTTAAAACAAGAAGTCAGAAAGAGTGATCATTAATTGATAGTTCCCGAGTGTGTTATGTGACTGATGACCGGTATGCCGACTGCTCTTGCGGTTTAACACAGAAGTAGGGGGTCTTGTACGCAAACGTTACCGAGGCGGGAGGAATATTGCTGTCATACGTGGAGTATTTCGGACAGATTATACCTACCATAAGCACAAATTCATTTCCATCGACTGGTGACGCAATACGAAGGCAAAGTTCACTTGCTCATAGTCATCTGTGAGAAAATTGAGGAATTTTGAAAATAAACATGTTTGTGTGATCAGTACAGAACACTCCGCACGTCCAGCTGGAGCATACAGGATCGGAACTGAGGCCCAAGTGGTGAATAATGATGAACTGAGCTAAAAGCAGATGTAGTGGGAGGAAGTGGCAGCGAAATCCATCTCAAAGTACGCAATAGTGAACAACCATTTCCACTTTCCATTAACATTCTTACGTTTTTACCTGCTAATAGAGCAGTTTTGGAGGAGCCATTAAGAACAAATCTGAAGACATATCTTAGTTCGAGGAACTAATTTGCAGCAACGAAAACGACGTTTGGTTGGTGGTGAATGCAGAAGACGTTAAACAATTTTTTGCGAAAAATCCCGTTCCAGTGGGTGATGTTAGTCGATTAAACTATGAGATATATACAGCAAATTATGGTGGAAGAAGAAATATCCACGTTAAAATCGCCATAAATTTGTAGCGACACCAGCTGAATTTCAGGTGGTCGCCATTTTATTTCACTAGACAGAGACTGTACCGAAAAAACTAAACGATCATCCTTCGTAGTCAAAAAAAACTTTTCCCTGCTACTTTGTAGCAAATTAGAAAATCGCATCAGTTTCAGAGCTCCATAACCAGTGCGACTAGTACTATCAATATTTCCTTCATGCACATCGATAATCTATTTCTTATTTTGGGTTACATTGGTTTCTTGGCGTTGCCGACCGCAAAAACCACACCAACGGTTTGCAGCACTTTTGCCATCGGGGCCTGTCTCAGAGGAAAATCGACCACCGAAGTCCAAGACGTTTTACTGTAAATATTACATCCACCGTCATTGGTTGCTTTGCCTTTCAAATGCTGGCCCAAGGAGAAAAAGTAGAACAATCCTTAAACCAGGAACGTCTTTCATCTACTTTAGTAATGTAAAGTAAAAATAATCGGCTCCCAACACGCTTTTGGTGCTAGTAAAGACCACATGCTACCTATTTGTGACGCAAGGACTAGACGGGAAGGGCGGAGCGTCTCAAGAAACCCCAGTGGCGAACGTATCAAGCCGCAGAGAAAAGGAATGTGACTTACGGTTAGAAGGACAGATGCGTCGGGACGATTGCGCTCATTCTTGGTGAGGCAAAGTTTAACGAAATTTCGAAACGCCCCGCTCCTGAGATGAAAGTTAACGAAAACACATAAAAGCCGTCAACAAGAGACTGAATGAAGACAAATAGATGAAAACATACCACTTCGATCGCTCCTTCAAGTTTGGTGGCTTGTAATTTCGTGCTCCGAGACATTGAAGCGCCCTAAAAAATAAAACAAACAGACATCAGCGGGCAGAAATTCACAACTTTTAGTTTTTACCAAGGCTAGTTGTGAGTTGTGAGAGACACTGCAACTAAAGATCTGTAAATTAATAATAAGGCTGTTTCTGAACTTATACGTCTTAACAACGTCTATAAGCGCCACGCTGGAAGTGTCCGATAAACCCTTACTCCTCTCATAAATAATAACTCTTCTTGAGGATTCCAAGGAGGCTGATATCTGAAGGGATCAGTTGATTACTGAAGGGGTATATGTTGATCCCGCCGTGACGCAAGAGAGAAGGGTCAAGAAAGCTCCGTCAACCGGGTGGCGATCGCCCCTTGGCAAAAGACTGAGCCAAATCTATACTGAAAGGCTATTGTAACTATAACAAATCTTGACAACTACACTAACCTCAAGTTCCGTATTATGACCAATAAGACAGCGGGAGCAGATCTAACCGAGGTTTAATCGTAATATTTCGACAGAACCTGTGCATACTGATTTTAAACCTGAAAGTGTAATACCTTAAATATTGCGGAAGGCTGAAAATGACTCAGACAGACAGCCGGATAAACAGGATGAACATAACAATGGAATAGCAGGATGGAATGAAATCGAAAAGGAAACTCAAGGAGTTGTGTGAACTTGAAGGTTTTGCAAAACCGTTTTCACATTTGAAATTTCCGAAAGAATTACTGCGCTGAAGAAAGTCATTCAGACTTAAACAGTTCACTAACAGATAGACTCCATTGAAATCGAAGAGGAGCGATTCTATAGTTTGATCGGGAATAGTTTACGATATTATGCTTTAAAAAAATTTTTCTTATTTTTGGATTACTTGCTACCTCATTTAATTGGAGTGATTTCCGGTAGAGAAGAACTGTGCGACAGAATGGTACCCATCTTTATTACCTATATATTCAAAATGAATAGGGAGGACTTCGAATTCTAGTTTGATTTAGTCTCTATAACAGTAGTAAGATTCAAGCAATAGCTTTTCAGGGTGTTTACAAGTCCAAATTGAAGAACACTACAGACCCGCACGCCTTGGAGTGCCTTTGAGGATGATTTAGGCGCCGTTTTACCATTATCTGCCCTGTGTACGAATAAGCCAACTTTTAAAATTTTATTGAATAGTTAAATGAAACTTAATTAAACCGGCTGTACTACTCCACCGGAAATCCGGGGACATATTCTTTGCCATGACTATCAGATTGCCAAACACCAAGAGTTCAAACTGCTTAAATTCCAGAACCGCTTGTGAGAGGGGGTTTCAAGCTTTTTACTGGGCTACCGTAGCGGTACTACCTGGCGTAGTAAGCGGCAAGTAAGGCCTTTTTCTTGTATGAACAGGTGAGAAACGGGTCCTTAGGTGAGAAATTCTGTTCTGAGGCACGATGCAGTGCGGGAAATGATACACCTAGGACGTGGAAGACCTCCGATAAGACTAAGACAGTGGTTGGCAAGATAAATAGCCTGAAGGAAGTCGTAACGTAAAAAAGTAGCAGATACATTAATTCATCCGTCAATTTGCCACCTGTTTAGGGCAGCTTTGTGAAACAACGGATACCTACGTAAGAAATATATCCTAGTTTCCAAAACTACTTCCATCTTGGCACAAACATATGCAGTAGTGTGAAAAATTCAAAACAATAGGGAATGAAGTGTTGGAAAAACGATGGTTCAAAAATTTCCGTTCTGAATTTTATGCATGAAAGTGAACAAAACATTGTGGGAAATCCAAGATGAAACAAAGATGCGAATAATTTGAAGACGTTTCAAGTAAAATTAAAATGGGAATCTTAAAATATGGGTCAAACCTGGGATCGGCTTGATATTTACCATGAAAGTTCGTATTAGCAGAAAGATATTATAACCCCTTTGCTACTGGCTGCTCTCCTCGTAGAACCAACGGAATTATGCGCCAAAACAGGACACAGTAGTGTGGACTGAGAAAACATTCAAGAAACCGTGGTTGGGGCTAAAAGACCGTAAAATTTAGAATCTCGAGAATTTAAGGTAATGAATAAACGAATCCATGCAATAGAAGCCATCCCAAGTTCAAAACTCAGCGAAATGCCTTGCTTTGATAGACACTAGATGGATCTAGTTCCCCTAATTCTTGAGCAACTTAGCATTCACAACTGAAGTGACAACCAAAATGAATACCTATTCGAAGGAGGGTAGATCATTCAAATGCCTTATTGAGGCCTTTCACACCCGTTAAAATAATAAAATTATCATAAGTGATGCAACTGTCAGCTCGCTTTCGTATCGAGTTAAATTTAGTGAGAGAAGTCCAAGTAACAACAGCTAAATTCAAAGAGTCAAATTTCAGCGTTTTCTATGGACGATAAGTGGAATCTAAGCCATCGAACAACGAAAGTCTCGGAGATTCGAAGGAAGTTTGGGGAACTTACATGAGAGGATCCAAATCAAAGAGCGGAGGCTGCAACTCGGCATATTCGATGGCCGTAATTCCCACCGCCCAGATATCACACTTCCCATCGTAGCCGGTCCCCCGATTCTCTACTGAAGCGACCTCCGGTGCCATCCTAAGAGTAGAAGGACCAGAAATCGAGAATTCACCTGCAGCGCCATTATTGAGTTATTTTCAAGACATAATAGAAGATGCACTCTAATTCAGTTAGCTGTAGAATTATGATCCATCAAGTGTTGGAAAATCCTTAGTATTTTCGGTGATTGCAACTCTTGAGAAAGGACCTGATGAATATATCCCAGTTCAATTCCAGCCTAACATTTAAAACGGTTTTCTTTCACCGGAAAGCCAATCAAGGTGGTTTAATTCAGACCTTTCACCACATTTAGCCCATCCAATCCGGTATTTGCTGTAGACGTAATCGTTCTACTGATTTTCGTGCTGCTGTGATAAATGACGGCAGATTGAAGACTCTTCTGTTCTCCCTTTACTGAAGGGAAGCGCAACCTGCGTACCAGGATAGCGTTTCGACTTTTTCGTACACTCAAACGGATCACTAGCGTAGAAATTAATTTAAAAGATTACTTAGATAGCCTTAAAATGGCAACGAAGTTTAACACCTTTGCCATCAGAGTCTGCCTCAGAGAAATATTGGCCAAAACAGGTGAAGTACTTCACCGACTCAGCTGCTGCTCAAAAACTACGGACGGAATGATCCTAGGAAGAAAAATGTCCTCAACATTTTAAGCTCAAAAAACCTGTTAGCGTCAGATACTTGTGACGTGTGGGCTCAGACAAAATGGATCGAGATGTCGCATATGTGGTACTGGTTATGTGTACGCACCTCTTCTATAAGAACCAAGCATAACTCAGCGCCAAAAGAATACTTGCCATATTTAAAAAAATGGAACATTTCGCGTGACCTGTGAGAAAATTCAATTTGAAAATGGCTTCCTATGAGCAAGCTACCATTCGGGTGGATTGTGACCAAACAGACTGAGGGAGATATCGTTCATTCGCAAGTGTTAAACATCCCCAACCTTGCCAAAATGCTATTCACTTAAATTTGGAGCGACTTTAACATTACAGGGGACGGATGAACAGGGTGCAATATCCTGCACGATCATATGTGGCCGATTTACAAGAGACCAGTAGAGCAGAGAAAGCGATTCACCATGATCAAAAAGTACCATAGACTTGACTCCTACCCCCTCCCCGAATATTTCCATTCAAAAGAATTCGCAAACTGGACACTTTTAATTTACTAAAAAACAACACTCCGACAGTCGCGGTTACTTATGTGAAAGTGCGCGCACGTGCCCACACAATTTGCCATAAAATGCACACTAACACGTCCACACACAAGTGACGAAACGATATGTGAAAGTGAGTAACATGATGGCAGGCAAGACTACGCGCACTATAAAATTAGCTGTACCAACGGCAGGAATCAAAGCAGGCACCCAACTCACCAGTAAGGCGTGCCGATTACCGTGCTCCGTTTAATCATCGAAGTGCTCAGCTTTGCAGCAACACCAAAATCAGCTATCTTGACTTCACCGCGATCCGTAAGAAGAATATTTGCACCCTATGGTTGAAATAGCAGTACAGATAATAGGATTGCCTTGATGTCCCGATGAATCCGATTTCTTTCATGCATATGTCGCAGGCCCTTTAGTGTCTCTCTGGTAACGAATGCTATACAGTCCTCTTGTAGGGGAATACGAGTATCTGTGTAGAATCAATATTTGTAAACTAAGGGTACGTACAGAGATAAATGTCCTGCATGGATTGTCCACCACAAAATTCCATACAGATCCAAAGTTTGTTGAGGCGAAGGTAGCTGCCATAATACTGCACAATATTAGGATGAGAGCACTCCATGAGGGTATGAATCTCCTGGCATATAGCTCGGATGTCATCCTTAGGATCGATTTTCATTATCTTAATGGCCACCAGTCGGCGATCATCACGTCGTTGTGCCTGTACGAAAAGTTAATCGTAAAGCCATCAATGTTCGCCAAGATATTACAACAGAGCCACACGTACTAGTTCTAGTTTTAGTGGCACTCACAAAATGCATGGAATCAAATCGAAAATGTGTAAATCCAGCTCTAATTAAGAGGTAAATGTGTCTTAAATGTACACACGCGGAAAACGCATCAAGACGTAAAAGCCAGACCCCATAAACTTCTGAACTGTATAGTGCACTTTGTAAGATAATAAAATATACACATACGCATCCAAGTACTCCAAGTACAGGTATACAACGGGAAGCTGAAATACGTTGATGAAAAACAAGGTATCTTATTTTGGGAATAAAACAGTCTGTACCTTGTACACATCCCCATATGTGCCACTACCGATGTTCGCCAGCACTTTATATTCTACCTTAGGATCAGATTGCTTAACAATCTGCCGAAGATACGCTAAATCTGGATGATGCATCGACAATTGATGAACAGCATTTGGACCGCCCGCAATCTGCTTTATTCAGATAAACGACTGTGCAATTATAAACAAGTATTTGTTTAGGCTAGAAAACGTTAAAGTTTTACGTTAAAAATGTGTAAAAACTTAACAACAAGCAAAAATGTTTGGTGTTTATGTTTTACTGCACTGCGGCCCGCGCCCGGACGGCTCAATCCATTGTCCAAAGTATGGATCCTGCTGTTGACAAGAGAGTCTGCTATTATTACGATGGTATGCTGTTTTTTCCTTAATGTGGCCTGGACTCTATACCTCGTAGCCAGTGTTTACTCTAGTGCGACTTGCTTTAGGGAAGATGGGGCCCTCCTAGATCTTAAGTGTTTCTTAGCAGGTGTTTGGAGTCTCCTATGAGGGAGAATTATTTAAGCCTTCCCGTGTCAGTTTCCTTTGCGACAATTTTTTTCGTAATGATGGTAAAATTTGCGAGATGCCGTTTAGACATTGACTTGTTTTTAGTAAAGCGATGCGTTGCATTTGCGACAAATTGTTGAAATGGAGCGATATGAGCATACTTCAATGCAGTTTGGTAATATTTTGTGAATTATCATTAAGGTGACATTGGGAACTATTACTACGGTCAGGGCCATCCCATGAAACCTCATCGTATACGCATGACTCACAATCTTCTGCTCAATTACGGTCTCTATCGGAAGATGGAGGTGTACCGACCTTCAAAAGCCTCTGCTGAGGATATGACCAAGTTTCACAGTGACGAGTACATCAGATTCCTCCAAAGCATTCGTCCTGACAACATGTTGGACTACACCAAACAAATGCAACGCTTTAATGTCGGTGAAGACTGTCCTGTTTTTGATGGGCTGTTCGAGTTCTGCCAACTTTCAGCTGGTGGTTCGGTTGCAGGAGCTGTGAAGCTTAACAAACAACAGACAGATATCGCAATTAACTGGGGTGGTGGGCTTCATCACGCCAAGAAATCCGAAGCTTCGGGTTTCTGCTATGTTAACGATATTGTCATGGGTATTCTCGAGCTGTTAAAGTACCATCAACGCGTTCTCTATGTTGATATCGACATTCACCACGGAGATGGTGTCGAGGAGGCTTTCTACACCACTGACCGAGTCATGACTGTCAGTTTCCACAAGTACGGTGAATACTTTCCCGGAACCGGCGACCTTAAAGATATCGGTGCTGGTCGAGGCAAACACTACGCCGTTAATTGTCCTCTTCGCGATGGTATGGATGATGAATGCTACGAGAAGATCTTCAAACCAGTTGTATCCAAGGTGATGGAGACATTCCGACCCGGTGCTGCTGTTCTCCAATGCGGTGCTGATTCCCTTAGTGGCGACCGACTCGGATGCTTCAATCTCAGTCTAAAGGGTCATGGAAAGTGTGTGGAGTTCCTACGCTCATTTCCAATTCCTTTGCTCATGTTAGGAGGTGGTGGTTACACCATCCGTAATGTCGCGCGTTGTTGGACATACGAGACTTCGATTGCACTAAACACTGAGGTGCCCAACGATCTTCCTTACAACGACTATTACGAGTACTTTGGACCAGATTTCAAGCTTCACATTAGCCCAAGCAACATGACGAACCTTAATACCCCGGATTACATTGAACGGATCAAGAATAAGTTGTTTGAGAACCTAAGAATGCTTCCTCACGCTCCTAGTGTTCAGATGGTTGGTGAGTGACGTACGGAGTCGCGCCATCTCAATTTCCCCGCGACATCTGTATTAAAAGTCTTTTCTGGCTTCAGATGTACCGCCCGATACGATTGACGTAGAAGAGCAGGAAAAGGAAGCAATAGAGAACGAGGATCCGGACAAACGAATCTCTATCATGGCTTCGGACAAGGCCGTGCATCGGGACAACGAGTTTTACGATTCGGGAGAGGAGGACGGTGTTGGGGTGCAAGTGGCTCCCAAAGGCATCAAAACTGCCAAGGACGTGCACTCTTTCCGTAACCAGGCGAAACGTGCTCGAATTGAGGAGTCTGGCAAAGGGGATGTCGCTTCAATGGATACCGAAGAGTCGGCTGTAAGTTGTTTTTCTTCCTTTTGGTTCACCCCTGCCCACTTCTAATAGTCCGTATTTGGGCTTGCTAGGAGGCAGACAAGGCACGCACGGGCGGAGACAAGGAGACTGTGAATACAGGTGCTACTCTGGCCGATTCTAACACAACGGCTTCGTAGTACGATATACGGGCTGATTTTTCTACTTAATTGTACTTTTTAAACTACGATCGTCATAGTTATCTCTCAGCATCGCTCATACTACGCGACAGTACTATATTGGATGTCACTAGCATTTACTCTGTACAGAGCGGTCAGGCAAGCGTTAATTTCTGGTATACGGCCTCCCTCCCTGCAAAATCCTCTTTTTTAATGGATTTCCAATTATCCCTTGGGCTAATAGTACTTGATGCGTTCCCACTTTTCGTAACATACTCATGTCTGTGTGTGAATGAGTGGCCTAGTATTCAATATTGCTAAATGAAATTGATGAGTGAGATCTTATTTTGTTGGAGGGAATAATTGGGTTTTATAATAATTTTTTCCCAGTCGTAGCTCTAGTCTGGTCTTTCAGTAGATATTTTCTTCGTTTTCGTGTCAAGCGTGGTAGATGTTTTAGTTGATCCATTTGCTGAATAAAACCCGCTGAGAGAACAATCGGTAGTGGTGAATTAGTCTCGGGGATTGTTACCTTTTCAGGCTACCATGAACTCTTCTCGACATCAGACCGTCACGAACCGAAGTATGAGTGGGTGTGACTGGATATTTCTTTTCTGAGGGCAAGCCATTTGTTAAGAGTGGGCTTCGTAATGCGGTAATCATAGGCTGATGGCGATAATTATCTTAACGAGTGGGATACTTTGGGGAGCATGTGCAGTTATTTAACTTTTGGTTAGAAAAACAGCGTACCCTTTCCTTGTCAGCTTATGCTTACAGTGATATTGCTATAAGTTCACAAACAAATTTCGTTAGGAATGCTTCATTCATCTTGCTTGTTATCTGTTAATCTTCCTACATCAATGATGGAATTATGTTTGCTTGAATTAAATCAGTAGCTAGGACTTTACGCAATTACCGACAAATTCGGTTCGCGCTAAGGCCCTCGAACTCCCTATTTACTAGAATTAGGTTAGCCAATTCTCAGATATTATACTCATTTCAAGAACTTTCAAGGTACATTAGTGTTGATTGAAAATCACCCTATTTTCATAACTACATATTATAGAACCTGGGGTGCCGGGATCAACCTCGATATTCTCTGTGTAATACTTTAGCTGTTCGTTCAACTCCCGTTGTTGAGAAAAGGACCACTTAGGTACTCCACCAATGTACCTTCGCCGGGTGAGCTGGCTTCCGAGCCACGACAGTAGCTTCAAGTCCTACTGTTCGTCGACGACACATATTCTGGACGAGTATTGTGTCTTCCGTATTCAGAGAAGTTTTGGGGCGCTACACTGGTGGCAGCGGAATGCAAACCAGATCTTAAAGGACCACTAACCTGATTTTTACTGCTAAGTGATAGGCCTTAGCAGGGTGGAGGTGCATTTATTTTGCATGGAGGTATTTTTGACGTACCCTAATAGAAGAGCTGAGATGACTACCTTTGGCAACCACCCTAATCTCGTGTTTCGCAGGAAAGCTAAAGCACTAGCTGTGAACCATTTGGAAAAGTTTCTTATGGAGCTGTCTATAGTATCCGTACGAAGATATCGACCGTACGAACACTCGATATCTCCTCCGCGTCCTCAATAGCTGGTTGGAACCCAGATAGATGTGGCTGGGCAGCAATGAAGTGAGAAAAGAGTGATGAGGAGGAATTGATGCAAAACCCTACTCCCACAGAACTGTGATAAATCCCAACGCTTGTTATATGACCCCCCTTTTGGGCCAGTGTTCCCACGACTTGTTATAGACACGGGCGATGGCCAGCACATTCTCCCTTCTCCAAATCCATTTCTCATACAGGATGGAACTCCAGATCCAGTGGAATTGCTGAGGGGGATCAGTGACTTCACGATCAAGTATCTTCCCATTTGCATGGAAATTCGGTGACTGGCACGGTTGACTCGTGAATGTTTCCTTACAGGACGGATTACGTTTAGAGTGCTGACGCGTAAGGTTGAATGAGGGAGCGTCGGGGATGACGCCCCCGGTTTTGGTGAAGGGGTCACTTAGATACTCCGCCTCTGTGTATGCGCTAGGTGGCCTGATTTCTGGTGATGTTAGTAGCCTCAAGCCTCACTGTACGTCAAATACATATATGTATATTCCGCCCCAGTATTGTCTTATTTCGTTTTTCGGAAGCCTTGGGGGGCCACATCTTTATTAGAACGTTATTTATTACGTTCATGTTTAACCACGCGAACTAATCAGCCTCCAAGGCTTGGCCTCCGTTTTGGCCTCAGATGTCCAGTTTATGCCCCTTTTGAGGCTTCACTAATGACTAGAGGTGCTGCATCAACAACAAATCATTAAAATCTACTCGTGACAGATTGTGGAATCTTTTTTATCCCTCTTCAAGGCTTTACCATTTGGAAATCCAATTCCACTAGAGGACAGGATCATCCAAGACTAGTTCATCGTTTACTCTAGCCTGATGGCTTTATTCACATCATATTTATTGAACCAGAATGCTACAATCTTCAACAATTATTGCTTCATCATGTTTTATTTTGTACAAGATGTTTAAAACTAAGCAAAAGTATACATGACAGAAAAAGACTGCAAAATACTGCTGACTTAATTGAAGCAGAATCAACTATGTCAACTCCTGCGCAATTCCTCACACCTTCCCTTATTACAAAAGCACTTTCTAGCTTAAAAATTCTATTCAAGATCTGCAATTTTATAATACGAATAATTTCCAGGGTTTTAAAAACCCTATAATATACTGAGAGAGGCTACAATCACATCCTAGCATGCCATCGCATGGACTTGAATATGATTAACACTTGTAGTTTCCTACTTTATCATTTGCATATTTTCGAATTTCCACAAAAGTCTAATCAGAACAATGTCGTAGTGTCCCTGGACTTCAACGAAAACGAAAGATAGCATAATGCTGGGGCTAACAGCATGGCCTGGAGGCCAGCCCACCCGGCGACGGTAAAACAGTCGAGCACCTAAGTTGCCCCTTTACCAAAATCGAGAGTCAAACAGCCAACAAAGTGATGCGAAGACAAGAAACGATAGTGCTGTAGGACCTTGTTTATTTCTCTTGCTGACTCGTAGCTTCAAACCCCTTGTTCAACAAAGATTAAGCTTATGTAAGAGTGCAGAGACCTTATAAGGAATCAATATTCAACAGTACTCAATCAGGAAATAATAAGAATAATCAATAAGCAATCAATTAGTTAAGTTTAAAAACGGTTTACCAAATAATAGATCAACAGACTACACACGTGCATTAATCAAACAAACAATGCAAATCCATCATCTCTACTTATCGTGCTACATTTTACTGTGTCAGGCTCAACAGAAGGATTCAAATCTTGACTTTCTGACCCCAAATCGAGACGAAATTACTAACTTTTTCTTCCCCCACTTCACGCCATACTGCGATATGATGGATCTAGTTCTACGAGCTAGTGAGTTCGGTTTTCCTTCCTACCTTCGTCGTACACAGGTCCTGCCAGATAGCCTCGCTTTCAATATTCCTTCCGAGATGCTACTGAATCCTGTGGGACCAATTGAATTTCATATTCCCACTTACGTAAAGAACCTCATTCAACTTGCCATGGTGAAATCGGAACGCATTGTCACTCAGGAAAATTTGATGGAGTCAACCAAACATGTTTGGCTCAACTCAATTCGTCCTGCTAATTTCCAGAATTTCATTCAGCCACGTGCACTTCGTTTGCTCATATACGATGAAACTGCAATGATGGATGCCGAAAAGACGGCAAGAGCAGGTACAATCAATGTAGCCCTGGTGAACTCCTACAGCTACCCCGCTAACTCAACCCAAAATATCCCACTTTCCATCATGGCAATGAGTGGATGGCGACTTCTTTTCTGGACAGCTGTTTCACAAATGCCCAACTTCTACCACACTTTGTATCAACATAAAAGCGAGGATTACGTAACCTCAATTCGAGCTCCATCAAGATTAGACGAGTTGAGCAGCACATTTCTCTTTCACCTCTGCGCTCAAATGCGTCAAGACAAATCACTCCTGGAAACCGATATCCCCGGTGGATTTTGTCCCAATCCTTGTGCCACATCACCCTGTCTAACTTTGCCTCATACTGCCGGGCAACAGTGTCATTTGACTGGGAGAGGTTTATTCATGAACGACTTCGGATGTGAGTGTCTTCCGGGATTCAAGTGGGCAGCTGCTGTAACTGGGAGTAAGGAAGAGGCTGAGGAGACTGAAGTTAGAACTCCTCTTTCGGACGAGATCGGAGCTTGTGTTGCGATTGATATCTGCGAGTCGTACTGCGATCCTCTTGGTACACGCCGATGTGATGTGATTCCTGGAACAAGTACTGCTATCTGCCTCTGTAAGGTGGGTTGCCTTTGGAAGATCAGTTTTTTAGTTGACTTCCATGGGACCAACGTGTAGTGCACAACGTGATCCATGTATCGAGCTTTCGGATAAGGAAATGATGCCAGGAAATATGGCCTGCAACACGGGTCAAGGAGGGTTATGTATTCCCACTTTAGGCAGTGACTTTTATGAATGCCGGTAAGTTGGGTGGCAGAACACATTCTTCTCTTCCAGGTGTGCCTCTTCTTGGACAAAAGATACTGGCCTCGATTTCGATAACTGTCTTGGTCTCAAAGACAAATGTGCTTCCGAAGTCTGCGTTCGAGGCGACTGTATATCATCTGCAGACGGTTCTGTATGTAATATCGACTTAAATATTCGCAGTGGTGTAGTTTTAAAACACCTTTCCTCCGTTAGAATATGATCTGTCTGTGTCCTGAGGAGGCCTACGGTGAACGCTGCGAAAATCTTCGTGGGAACTGGGGTCAGTGGAGTCCATGGTCAGCGTGTTCCCCAGCCTGCGGAAACAAAAAGATCCGTTACCGCGAACGAGTGCGTGGATGCCTCCATGGCGACACGTGTCAAGGTGGCAGGCGTCGTCAAGTAGAAGCATGCCCAGAGAATCTACCCTGTCCTGATGAGTTGGTTATGTTGGGCCTGGGTCCTGAAGCTCTGGCACAGCAGGATATGCTTCAGGGGGAAGAAGCACAGCCGAACTTTGATTTGCAACAAGCTTATGCTCTAAAGCGCCGGCGGTATAGCATGTTAACACAAGCTCTCAAATTTGTGTTCCTTCTGCTTTGTGCCTTTGCCATTGTCTCCACAACCATCATGTTCGCCTACGCTGTGTTGTACTAAAGGCTTCGAATATGCATTTTTCATTTGTTCATTATAAAAGTAGACTTAGGTATAATACACATTCTCTTTTTGTAATGAAGTGATCATGGGAAATTGAAAGTTAACTGTATAAGAGAATGAAATTAGACTTACAAGTGTTCCTTTCTTTCTGTACCTTCGTAACAAAGTCGGTTTCAAACTCAATTGCTCTATAAATTAAATTCGAATATCACCCTTTTTTAATTTCAAAAACTTCTAAAATTGGCATTCCAGAGTTAACATTCTCGGCATATCCACTGCAATCCATTCAACGATCCACCCAAATTTATGCCCTTGCCTAACAGAATACTCAATAAATAATGCCAATAATATCCCACTGATACAAACGGTCATTAATGATCTAATAATCTTTATTGTACATAATTGAAAGCCCATCATCATCTTGGCTTTCAAAACATTTTCAGTTGCATAAAAAGGACAGAAAAAAAGGGAGGACTCATCGATATGACAAAAATATGCCTCACAGCCAATAAGAAATCGCTGTCTCACTCAACACAATCAGACCTGCAGAGGTCATTATTGCCTAAGAAAGATGTCCGCACTGTCGGTGCGTCGGACTCAGATGGTGGAGGAGTCTTCTCTGAGGAGAAGTCAGATTCAGAATCGTCATCTACTTCGCTTCCACTTGTATCTCCACAGAGGTGTCTCGGGTCGGGTTCTCTTCGCATCCCATTGGTAAAGGGAAAACGTACGTAACCTCTAAAGAACCGCAATCCCTCTTCCCTTCGGCTGACCTCACTTGATGAAATGTGTCTACAAGGCGAGTAGAGAATTAAAAGCCAGCAATTCGGTAAATTGACGCTTACCCTTCGAGGTCATGATATGGACGTGAGGCGATATGTTTATCTACGTAAGAAGCTAGTTGTGAGTGGATGGTTTGAAGCAGATCCAAACTGAGTTGAGAGGGTTCTAAAAGGGTCACGCTGCGGCTTGTAGGCCGTCTTCGGTTCCAAATTGGCGTCCCGTTGCACTCACCGGCATCGTTATGCGAAGAAGCAGATCGGGGAAGTCGGAAAAGCTAGAAAAGAATGACAGAAGGAATTGGGGAATACTTCCCATTCAAACGCTACTCTTTGACCTTTCCGTGACTAAAGTATGTGAAGGACCAATAAGAACTGGCCCTACCACCGCAACGAACAAACGTATAACCTCTGACAAGCTCGAGACTAGATAGATTACCCTCCGGAAATGGAAGATGCGGCGAAATAAAATGCAGATTTTCGGTAGTTTGAGAAAAGCTCTCCCCGTATTAGTATAATCCCTTTCTGTTGAGTCACTGGAGGTCCATTTGATACCCACTTTACTGGTATATATCTTCAATCGTGTCTTGTTTTCACCGATCAGTTCTAGGCTTCTTCACTTTTTGTGGTCGTGACTGCAGCCGACCGGATGTCTGCGGTGCTCTGAATTCGCTACACCAGTATAGCCAAGTTCAAGTCTTGTAATCCATCTAGACGCTGACTTGGTGAGAGGTAACTATCTTTACGCTGAAGATGACTTTTGGTTCATGATGCATATTATTTATCCAAACTACTCTACGTATGTCAGACCATAGCTCCTCAGCTTGGTACAGAGATCGCTCAAGTTGAACTCCGACGTAAAGATTGCTGAAGCAAAACTATCCACAATGGTAAGTACCAAGTCCTACTACTCGCACTAATGGATGGTATTCACATCGTCGATCGGCGCTAACACCATTACTTAAGACGCCAGGTGACAGTGGTGGTGCGTAAAACAGCGTATGATGATACATGACGTCTCTTGTCAACGAAAATATGAAACCAGGGACCGTGAACACTCGTGTCCGCAGAAGATCATGAGCACAGGATGGTATGGCAGTAAAATACTCCCCCTCAGCAGTTACAGGTTTAAATGGTGCAGGCGGTCTCGACCGTAGCAGATCCCATCATCGTATGTAACGCCTGGTGCCGGGTGGATAATTGGCACGTCTTTAACCTTGCTAAAAGTACCTTCTAAGTATTCGTTGGATTATGAGGTACGTCTGCAGACATCGTCACCGGAGAACTGCCCTGAAAAATATGTCCTTTTGAGTCCATGAACGACCGTCGTGTACTGATTTTGCATCTATCTTCACCCCAAACTGAGAAACTGCACAGATATTCAACTCTTCGAAGGGAATCGTCTACATAAGAGGCTCAGAGAGTAATGTTCCAACTTGTCTGACGGAAACAGAAGTACTTTGCTCTTCTGGTAGCATATTCAATTAATCCAAGTTACAAGCCTTTTGGCATGGGTTTGTGTTCTGCAAGCCAAGAAGACCACGCCTAAGTTAATCAGTGGTAAGTGCTTAGAAGAGAATAAAAGGATTAATGAAATTACTTAAAATGCACCAAAGTCTGCTAAAACCGACACTGAAATCTCAAATGCGGTTCCTTTTCGCTTTTTTGTAAAAACTTACTTTCAGTCGGGACACTTCCAGTAGCACTCTGTGTCTGAGGATGAGTTTAAATCTATTATCTTCTAGAATGTCATTAAGTCAATTCCAGTTGTCTTGCTGATTCTCGATCCCCTTCAACGAGCACCAAACTCTATCCAATAACTCTAGTGAATTCCAATCAACTAGGAAACAAGAAGGAAAGTTGTTGATGGTTTACATTAAAAGGGATAAAAATCTGCGTCTTGTAGAACGAATTGAAAAGACGTGGTTAAGAGGTACTATCAAAGCTGCACATGATCCCACAGAGAACGCTTTCCGTATGCTAATCCATTTTCGCATGAAGATTCTTCCTTGGGCAGCTCTCCGAGTTTTGCCTCGATCCTATTTCGCTTTGCCGTTTCGTTGCCATTATAATACCTCTTAACTATGTATCCACCCATTTTGATTACTTTGCTACTCGTAATGAAATGTAGAGATCTTATATCTTCATATTCTATTCACACCTTACTGTTTTATAAACATCTTGAGAACACTTTTGGCATAACTTTTATCTAATTACTGAAGGAAAGGATCCGTTTTCTTGCGATTTGCCGACCAATTGATTTGTTTTTAGCTCTCTTGTGAAGAATCATCAACATTTCAATCATCCGCATCAGAATTCGGATAACAGACTGCGATCTCCATGATGAACATCACTCACCTTCCAGATCTAGACGAATCTGACCCTTGCATTAATGCTATGGAAATATAAAACAATTTCGCCATGAGGTCTTACGCTATCCCACCAATTGGTGAGTAAACAGATGGGTTTAATGCATTCGGCACAATGGAGAGCACAGGAATGTGGCAACTGAAAAGTCGATATTGTTAGCCCATCATGCTTCCGATCATAGCAGCCATGCTCCCATTTTTTCAGCGATGGTTAGAGGAGCACCGATACTGTTATAGAGAAGAATTAAAGGTGTCATTTCAAATTCAAGCATACCGAAAATCTAACCGATGTTCCATTCATCGCTGGAGAATCAGACACGAATTTCCCATTTTGGTATTTTTGACGGCTGTTATGACTCGTCTCCGAATGTGCCGAACCACTTCCGCCGATCGTTGACCGTTGAATTGGCCGATTGTCTTCCAATCCTTGCAACTGTACTAATCTACTACAAAGAGGAATCGATTTTGAAATAGCCATCAGTCCCGCCTCAGCAATATAATTCCCTGTGAGATCGATGCGTCGCAGGGCCCGTGGAACATCACCCAAGACTTCGGCCAACGCAATAGCGCTTTGGCAAGCGAGTCCACAGCGAGCAAGACCGAGATAGACTAGCCGTCGACGAGTGTAGGCTTGTAAAGCGCTACGAAGTGCTAAAACACCTTGGCAGCTAAGATTCGGGTTATCGCTCAACTCCAGGTGAGAGAGACAGGAGAGAACGGGGAGACAGGTGGTGAAGTGCTTTGCACCGATTGGACTAAGACCCGTTCTGCAGAGGTAGAGGCGATGTAGATTGCAACGAGATTCGGTAGACGAGGTGTCTGTAGAAGGTGTTACGAGGGTGGTGGGATAAGAGGGATGGGATAAGGCGTTTGCGAGTAATCGATAGCCCTCGTCCTGAAAGAAGAAAACGACAAACTGTCAATTTACTCAGCGATTCTGCTTTTTGTGTTAGACGAACTAATTCTCTTGGCTCCCTTTCATTTTGATGTCATTTTAATACTGGGCAGCCATTCATCTGAGACAGTATCTGATCCTCATAATATAGAAGGGTAACAGGTCTTTGTTCACTGTTTTCGCATCAACAATGGAAGCAGTCTTGCACACAGATAATATTTATTTATTCAATGCATCTCTAATTCTGCTACTTGTCATGGTTTTAAGGCTTAAAATTGGAGTAGTTTACCAACCACAATTTCTAAAACCCATCTGTTGTGGATCTCCACAGATCTAGTCATATGGAACGCGATCGGCGCACATGACACGCCTTCGGGTCCGGATCGAGCTCAACTTAATAAAGGACGTGATAGATGGATCGAATGATTGCAGCAATGCTTTTATTGCACAAATTCGTCAATGCTCTTTCATTCCTATCTTGTTGATGAATTTTTTCAATGCAATTGAACGCCATTGTTGTAGATGAGTAGCTGAAGATAACGACAAGAAAAGTTATTGATTACTCATTCTAATCCTCAATACTTCCACATTATTTGCACACAATCCTGAATCAATCCAATTCGTGCTCCGGTCACTCCACGGCTTTTCGTTCCCCGGGGTTGGATCACTATCTCCGTGTCGCAGTGTCCTGTTCTAGACTGATATAATTCGTTAGGTTTTCAAGGTTAACTTGAATTTAAAAAAGTGAAAGCGGTGGATGAATGTACGTTAAGTCAGCAATTCCATTTCTTTGTATACCGCAACCAATGGTCACACGAAGAGAGAATGTGGCATGAAAGCCCAACTCTGTCGACACGCACAACCAGGATATTGAATCTGCATCAGTTTTTGGTAACCACCCCGGGTCTCAAGCCCTGTTTAAACAAAACGAAACATTCCATTGGGGAACTGCATCAAAACATGTGCAGAAAAATTAATTTGTAACCGTAACATGAAGAACTGGTACTCCTTTACGTTCCATGAATCTAAAAAAGCGCTGATGGTCGACTGGGGAGCATTTAAATGGTAGAAAAGTGGCAGAAGATGAATATGGAGCACTGTTACGCAAGGTCGCCTTATATTGTGTTTCTAAGACAAGTGTCCTAATTGCGATACTAGTAAAATTCTAAAAAAAGCTCGCTAAGTAAAAAAAACGGATGAGACCACCGAATCGCATGTCTTTCTGTCGAGGTGAAAAAAGTATAATATGATGTTTGATAGTGTGACAGTCAGAATGCTGACATCTTGGTGGTGAATTTGGTTCACTGAGTTTTGTTTTTGTAATCTGCCATATTAGCGGCATATTGTCACATTCACACCCCCTACGTTGACATTTTTTCGGCCCTTCTATTCACCTAAAATAACTCGTAACGAATTGAGGGGAAGACTCAGACACAAGCAGGGATGAATCCATTAAGTGAAGGTGCTTGTCTTACAATCTCTTACGGTCATGACAAATGAAAGCATCAGAGATGAATTCAGTCGCAAATATGGCATTAAATACAACAGATAAAGAGAAGTGCGTGGACAGAGCCGCCATCACAACTTAAAATAGAGAAGGAGGAACATGCATCCGACATCCTTTTCTTGAAAAAACCCTTCTGGAATGCTAAACTGTCATGGGATTGCTCTAGGATTCAATTAGCAGTACTCTTGCAACAGGGCCTGCTTCCCTTTTTAAAATTTCACTTGATATAAAACCGCAGTTTAATCAGTGCTTTGAAATAGTAAAAGTATACCAGAAAGCATAGGAAGTAGAAAGTATGCTCCCTGTGCGATTATTACTAACTCGAGATCTTCTGTTAACAACAATGCGAAAGTAACGAAACGTGTCATGTGAGTACTACGAGAAATTAGAAGTATTCAGATTCCAACATATTCGTACGCTGTAACTTGATAACCAGGTACAGTACCATGCACACACAATGGAGTGCACCTGCTGAATAAATCGCACGCAAAGGTTAAATTTTCGTTGCACATCTTTCTTCAAAATCATATTAGACAATGGCAGCTACTCTCCACCCAACAAGACCATGTCCAATCGCACCAAGTGCATTTGTCCATGCATCCTTCCTGGAGCTACAAATTAACACTTTTCGGAACAAGTCACCCGAGCATCAATTCATTCTAGATTTAAACTGCTCACCCTGTATCCAGCCAGCCCAGCTATATTTATCCATTCATCCATGTATACCCGAAACATTCCTTCAACTGACACGAACTGATGTATTCATCTGTCAGT